GAGATGGCAGTGGTGTAGGCTGGAAAGCTTGATTAAGTTGCAGTTACAGACAGACAACACAGACGGTCTCGTGGAGGTTGCTAGGCTCCACGGTGCAGAGCTCCGGATGCTCTGGGTGAACGAGCCACCAAAATAGGAATCGTAAATACGTCTTATAAAAGTCGCGTTCGAAGACGGGAAGAGGTGGGCGGTGGATCAGGCCGCCACGCTCCTCTGGATCTCACACAGGGTTTCTATTACCCTGCCGTGTACCCAGAGTCCCCACGAGATGGATGTGGAGTCCTCTTCGGCTTGGGCGGAAATTGCTCAAGCCTTTTATACGGCTAACAGGCCAATTGCCAGCCGCCACGTGTGAATAATTTAGCACTAGCCAATCACGGGGAACGAATCTGCATACCAGTGGTGGGAACTCTTTTGCACCGTGCATTCCTCTTGCAACATGAGCAATGCACTCTGCAAAAGAAGCTGCAGAAAAGGCGGGAAACTGGTCCCTGCACCGGGGTTTCCTCTTCAACAGGAAACACTCCCGTGCAATGCTCTGCAACTTGACGGGGATAATTCTGGTGCCGAAGCAGACACACACAATCATGCCTTTTGGGTCATGACAAAAACATTAGTACTTTTTTGACATTTTTCTTTCTTTGTCTATTTGCAACCTTGGTTATGTCAACACAATTCCAGCAATAACGTTTCTCTCGGTAAACGCTGCTTCACTAACAGTAAAGGGAACAGATTTCTTTCTAGGTCTTACAAAACCAGGAATTCTCCTTTGCTTGGCAACAGAGGAATTGAACACACAGGATACCGTTTCTTATTGTTTAAATTAAACGATTGATAGGAACAATGGAAATGCGATTAAAATGAGGGTAGAGATCAAGGAAAATATTATAATTGGATTTGAAATATATGCAACTTAGTAACCAAGTAAAGAAGTGTTCAAAGAAAATAAAATGGGGGGAAAAAATACTGCAAGACCTGGAAACTTAACAGGAAGGAGCAAACAATTCTGCTGAAAAAGATCTGGGGGTGACAGTAAACAGGAGGTCTGACCTGGATTTGTAATGCAATACGATAGTACAAAAAGCCAGTGCAATTTCAGGCTGAGTATGCAAGGGCGATAAGACCCAGAGCATGGATAACTCTCGTTGCAGCTGCACTTGGAAGACTGCAGTCAATTCTGGCACCTAATTAACAGACTACATATAGCAAAATAATAACATTTACTAGGAGGCTATAGGGACAGGTTTATTAGGAAAGATAAAAAGAAATGAATCTATAAGCACTGGCTAATGCAAGGTGAGGGCATGGGAAAACTTTACATTTCTGACCTGTCTACAGAATTATTCTCCTGGATGGTGCAACTGGTATACGTTTGAGTTAATGGAATGAAACTGATGGAGATACCATCATTTCTTGCATACAACACCCTCCAGAATAAAATGTGCAACTTGTTTTTGAAAGGCAAAATGGATTTTAAAAGTTCTTTCCTTGTAGCAACGAATAATAGCAACAACTAGGGAGCCAAGTCTGCCCATTGTTCCACTCCCTGCAAGTCTTGTGCAGATTTTACCTTCACTTTTGTCTAGTTACTGGAAGAAACTGCTTTTACCATATTTTCTGCATATAATGCACATTGCAATTTCCAGCAACTGTTCGGGTGGGCGACGTTTGGGAAAAGTGTGCACCGTGCGTGAGAAAATAAGGTGATACAATTACACATCAAGATAATTTGCCTGAGATGGAGACATATCAGAGTATGGAAAAGCCTCTCTAAAGAGAAAGCTGTATCAGATTTAAGAACATTATGATTTAAGAACATTATGTTGACTACTGCACCACCCAGTCTATAAGAAAAAAAACCAAACAGGCACTAGCCGTTTGTGTGGACTAAATGACCTATGGGTCCCTTCCTTATATAATATTTATGATTTCAGGATTCATTTTCCATCTCTCAGAGTCTGCTGTTCTATAATGCTTATATTTATGGCATTGCCTGAGTTCACTCCCTGTATCACCGTGTGGAATGGGGTGTTGGCTCGCATCTAATTTTGTTTTTCCCCACTGAGTGAAGATGTCCCTCGAGGCCTGGTAACTGCAAATACTGATTGGGGGTGACAGGAGATTCTTTCCCCTGCTTGACAGCTCTGCCAAAACAAAGTCTGATTTTTAACTCCAAAATCAGATTCCTCAGGATGAGAGGCACCGTGAAATAAGGGGAGCAAACAGTGAGGAACTAAAACAGGTCTTAGATTAACTGTTCGCTCAGGTCTCTCTAGGATAAACAAAAAACCAAACCAGAAATGATCAGGCAGGCAACAAAATAAAAATATAATAAGTTGGTTTCAAACTTTTTTCTAGTATAATTGACCTCAAGTGGAACTGGGGTGGAAAACAAAATCCCTTCTTCCTTTTATCAAGGTACTAAAGGAACTTTTCTCAGGACACAGAACTGAATGATGCATCAGTATTAGCAACTTGGGTTTATTTACTTATTTTTTTTAAATCTCCAAAAGGCCATGAAATTTATAATCACAAGCTGTCAAGAGCCAAACATGATTCCTCCTGTTCCCACCCTGTCAAAATAAAAATGCCACATAGCTTAAAAATATACCCTGCTTTGAGTGGAAGGAAGACTACTAAACTGTCTGAAATGACGGCGGTAATGGTCTTAATATTAGCAGTTTTAGAACACATGAATAATGCAGTGACATTGAAAGAAGGAAAATTCAGGTCAAATATAAAAATATATATATATATTTTTTGCAGTAGATACATCAGAGTTGTCTATGGCAAGCAGTGACGGATGCACCATGCTTCGAGATTTTTTCATCTAGTAGATTCCAAAGGATTAGCTAAGGAGGGCTTGAGATGGATGCCTCAGTTGTTCTTTAGTCTCCGCTTTCTTTAAAAATCAATGATTTTCTAGCCATTACAGCCACAAGCAAATTACCATACCTGATGCCTGTGTCTGCAGTGAGCCTTCACCAATGGTGAAGCCTCGCCTGGAGTGCTGTGCGTGAGTCGTACACTTCAAGAAAGATGTGGACAGATTGGAAACAGTCCAGCAGAGTGCCATAAATGATTAGAGGCCTGGGAAACATGACTTTTGAGGAAAGGCTGAAAGAATTAGGGTTTTTTTTAGTTTGGAGAAGAGAAATTTGAAGGAGGATTTTATAAGTCTTCCAATACCTGAAGGCCTATTATAAAGAGGTTGGAGATGGACTTTTCTTTGTGGCTATAAGGGACAGGACTAGGAGCAATGGCCTCCAAATGCAGCAGAGAACATTTAGGTTGGAGATTAGGAGGAATTTTCTGACTATGAAGGTGATCAAGCATTGGAATAGGCTGCTTAGAGAAAATGTGAAATCCTCAACCCTGGAAATTTCCAAAAGCAGGTTAGACAGACACTTGGTTGTGATGGTTTAAGTCAGGGATGATCCTACCTTCAGCAGGGGGCTGGACTAGATAAACTCATGTGGTCGCTTCCAGCCCTACTCTGTAGGGCTTTTAATAGGGCATGTAGGTTGTAGGTTTGTAATGGTTGGCTTGCCAGCAGGTAGAAGCTAAACTGGTTTCATTTTCCCAGGAAGAAAGGTAGTGGAGCTCAGCTTTCAGAAGCTTGTGAAACTGCTTTAAACCTAAGATATCCACTGGAAAATATGCTGTAGGAAATCATCCTCTTCTGACAAGGACATGACCTCACTGACCTTTTTCACCGACTCAAGGTTCCCCATCTTGGGGCCGCTTCGTGCCCGTTCATAAATCCACAACATGTTACTTGTTAGCTGCCTACTCTCATATGTTTTAATTAATTTGGGAAGACTGCAGCTCCCCTGTCAGAAGGCTAACTGTCTTCTTGTGAATGATATAATTGTAGGATTAGATTTAAATGCCTCAGGGAGAAGAATTATCTGTGGGACTTTGTGACGATTTCTAACCATTCATCCTTAGGCTGCAATGGCAAAGAAGTCAAAGGTGAGGATTCACCTCTTCAGCTAGAGTACTTCTTTGAAGTAACTTCCAATGTTACCTTTGAAACAGCTGGGCGTATGCGCCGGGAGCCTTTCCGTTCAGAGCCCGATGTGCTGCTTCACGTCGCCGTTGCAGAGAAGCTTCTTCCTGAACAAGAAATGTAATCAACTGTAACTTAAACATAGGTGGTTGTCACTATATGCAGCATAAAATAAGTGGCTGTGCCATTCCTCTCCCCAGCGAAAACTCTAGTGTAGAGGCTTATCTATGCTGGGAAACAGATGTGTGTTATGACATGGTGTAGTTAATGAGGGGTTAAATATAGCTCAGCTTTCAGTCTGGAGCTACATCTCATTTTAACTGTCCTTGTTTACTATGACACTGATTCTGTATGATGTCTGAGCTGAACGGTGATAGCAAAGAGCCAGCTATGACTCCCTAATTTTGGGCTGCTCATACAAATTAGAGGTGGAAAAAAACAGCTAAGATGTACACTGCTATCCTAAGACTCCTCACAAATGATTGAGCAAAGCAGAGCTGAACTGTGTCCCACCCCAAAACACTTCCTTTAACTTCTTATGCCCCAGGTAGGGAAGTGATGGGTGAAGAAGGTAACAAGTCCAGGTCTCCCAACTCTATGTCAGGAGATGTCAGCTCAAGTTTCTGTTTCCGTAAGCTTACCCTTGGCCCACCGGGTTTGTCTGCCCTGGGAAAATGCATCGTGCTGTATAACTTTTTAAAATATAGACTGGACATCAGGAAAAACTTCTTTACCGTCCGAGTCTCTACAGGCTGGAATAGACTCCCCCCCAGAAGTGGTGCAAGCACCTACTCTGACATGTTCACATTGCATTTGGATGCTTAACTTGCTGGGGTCATCTGACCCCAGCTGATGTCCTGCCCCCTGGGCAGGGGGCTGAACCCGATGATCTTGCGAGGTCCCATCCAGTCCTAATGTCTATGAAATCTATATGTCTTTCTTCAGAAGAAATGCTCTTCTGGGACTCTCCAGCCAGTTAAGGACACCTTTCACACCTGGGCCTCAGCAGATCAAATCATCTGGGTCCTGAGTATTTAATAAAGTGATACAGCACAGTGCATTTTTCCAGTGCAGACAAACCCGGTGGGCAACCATAAGCGTACAAAACCAGGCAAACCAAAAGCTCATTGCATCATGATATTACCACATAGCAAAGTCTGTTTAAATTAAATTGGACAGCCAGAAAAACGTCTTTACCGTTAGAAAAGTGAGGCAGTGGAATAGACGCCCAGGGAAGCTGTGGACTTTCCATCACTGGAGGTGTTCAGGAAGAGGTTGGACAACCACTGGTGGGGGATGATCTAGGTGGAGCGATGCCGTCGTTCTGTTATGGGTATTTCCCATGGGCTTTGCTGGTTGCTGTGTAGAACTGGGAGGCAATTCTGCTCCCCCCAATCCCTCTGCTGGTGCATGTGGCAGGGGGCGGTTTAAGCCTTCCTCAGAGGCATTAAGTGTTGGATGCAGCCAAATCTTAGGATTTTTACTGGGGTGTGGCAATGCTCCTGCTAGGACTTGGAGGCGCCTGGCTAGACAGTCCTTTCCTCCACTCAGAGTCAGACAAAATTGCCACATTTGGGGTCAGGAAGGAATTTTACCCCATGATCAGACTGGTATGGACATGGGGGTTTAGACTGGTATGGACATGGGGGTTTTTACCTTCCTCTATAGTGGGGGGCATGGCCCTCTACTTGGGATCTCTTAAGCAAATTTCAACAACCTTGACAGAAGCAGGACATTGGCTACTATGCTCCCCCTGCTTTACTTGGGACAGGTTAGGGTGTTATGTCTTGTGTTGTGTCTGGGTTGACCGAGTAGTTTTGCTAAGAGGTTCAATAATGGATTTGTATAGGGTGGTTTGGATAGGGACGATCTTGCCTCAAGCAGGGGGCTGGACTAGATGACCTCTGGAGGTCCCTTCCAGCCCGACTTCTCTAGGCTTCTCTACAATACGTCTTTGTTTGGTGCGATTCTGGTATCACAGGACCTGGACCCATAATAATTTGGTGGTCCTGCGTAACTTCACCACGTGACAAACCAGCACTGCAGATGGTAGAAAATGAACAGCAAAACCAACACAACTCAGGCTACATTGCTGAAGCTATCCACCACCTGGCTCTTGGTGAATACCCTACTGTGGCTACTCCTGCAGCATAAAGCCTCTATTTTGTAAAGATGCAATTCTGCCTGGTTGTTGTGTGGAGTATGTATCGACTTACCACTGCCTTGCACCTAGTGTAGTTAATTATGCCCACAAAAAACTAAAGCAATGCTCCTTATTCCTGCTCTAAGGTCTCTTGACTAGCAGGACTTGCCACTGATTGTCAATGCCAGTCATGTTATGCTCTCTTTTTGCCTTTCCACACTGTGGAAAGCAGCTGTGGCAGCAATGCCTCGCACTTTTAGCAGCCAAAAGTGCAGGACTTATTTCTACTCCCAAATGCAACAACTTGAGAGAGAACATTATTTCAAAATCATATAGAGATTTATACCCTTAATATTAAAAATGATCAGAGATGCGTTTGTGCTTCACCTTGAAGTATTTATAGATTGACACTCCAGCTGGTGCCCCAGGACTTCATCATACACATGAAAAAATATGTTGGGCACTTAGGGTAGTAAATAACCAAAAAGACATTAGACAAGGAAAGAGACATCAGACAAGGAAACTAATATTGAAGAGAGCCTTTCAACCACCGAGTAACTTGAGACCAGGTTAAATTATAGCCACTTTCATTGTAAAACACTTTTTCTCTGGTTTGACAAAACGTAAACTGTCAAAAAAAAGATGAAGTAAAGAGAAAAGAAAATAAATCGCTGTGATATGGGGGATGGCAGAGAGCCCCTGAGGTGAGAGAAACACTGGCTTCTCCCTCACCTCAAGGTAAGATACGTTTTGGTGAAAAAAACTCTAAAAAGAATGACATCCTTGACACTTAGTTAATTGTACGTGGCTGGAGAGGAAGGAGTGTGTTTTTGAAGATGGAGGGCTCCCTATCCATGTAGTGCATTTTACAGTTGCACCTTTCTTACTGCTAAACCTTTAAGCTTTGATACCCATGTGGTTTTCTGCTTCTCAGCTCCATCCTGAGATGGAGGCAGAGGCAGGTGGCTATAAATACAGAGGTAGTGACAACATTGTACAGCAAGCCATGCCTGCCCAGCCATCATTCATCATTATGACATCATAACCGAATGGAACATCTTTTAAAGCTTCTATTCTTTTTTTTATTCTCCCTTGCCATTATCATTAAACCGGAGCATTAGACATATCTGCTTCCTAACACCAACCCCATCACGGTCTGCAGGAAGAACAAATGAATATCTGCTTTTGGAGAACAAACTAAAAAAAAAAAGACAGAGCCACAGTTGCACAAGACTATTTGGAGTTGAAGGATGTTGGTGAATGTACAGATTGAAAAGCAGGAGGGGGGGGACCCCAACAGTAGCAGAGAAATGTGTCTAGATGTAATCCTGAAATGAATCAGCATCAGTTCCCAACCACCGCAGTTGAAGTGCGTTGCCACTTCCTTTCCTTTCCTTTCTTGTCTCCTTGTGACAAGGTAGTTAGCAGAATTTGCAGATTCGTTGGAATATGACAGGGCCGCGCTGCGAGGGCTTCTGCTATGGCCTGTTTTGCCACTGACTTTAATGGAAGGAGGATCCCACTCATAAGTAGCTCCTGATAAGCCGTGTTTATCGGACAGATTATGCCCAACAGCAGCACCCTCCAGCAAGCTGTGCCGCTGTGCGTGGGCTGCCTCCTGAACCAGAAGCAGCACAGCCATGTCTGTCCAGCACTGGCTGGGCTACCTGGCCGTGTCACTTGGCAGTAGTGATTAGTCCAGCCAGTGCCACACAGACACAACTGCACTATTTCTGGGTAAGAAGCAGTGTGGTGTCTTTGAGGGACCTGCTGCCAGACATGGTAAGTTTGTCATGCAGGCAGCTCCTTTGCCCCTCATTGAAACTCATCCATTTTTTAAGCTGAAAAAGATGATTCCTGTTCATTCTTGCAAGAGCACAGGCTGTCTGACTCAGTCAGGCCATCTGCTCCCTACCCCATTCATTTCTTTCAGCTGATAGTGCTCAGCCCATTTTCTTTAACATGCCTTTGTTATCTTGATTCTGGACAACTTGCTGCTGGAAAAATATTGACAAAGGAGTTGAGGAACGGCAATAAAAATGATCTGGGAGGAAGCGTGCCAATTTGGTCTATAGCTTAGTGCTTGATAATGCATAGGTTGGCATTTTTCCCTTACCACTGGCGTTTTCTGTGTGGAGAGGTGAGCTGAGATCCTAACAGCATAGTTTCTGGCTGAGGAGCTCAAGAATTCACCCGGGGCAGAAGGATGGGCTAGTCTAGTAGTTTCTCCACCAGTTGGTGTTCGGTGATCTCCAGTGGACGGTGTTCTAGCACCTAGCAGGGAACAGGTATTATCATGCACACATAAGAGCCCTTCCCATAGCTATTATCTTGCACAAATAAGACCCCTTCCCATAAACACCATTTACCACAAGCTGGAAGTCACAGCTGCTATCGGAGCTGTGCTAGGTTTTTCTTTCAGAATGAAAATCTAAATGATAAAAATGTGAGAGGTGAGTATTTTTTTGTAGCTGCTCTCTCTTATTGGACCAACTGTACAGTTGGAAGGGACACAGACAAGCTTTTGGGTACCACATACCCTTCCTCGTCTCTCTGAGAAAAAAAGCGAATGCAGCATCAGCTATATAGCAGACAGAACAAAGGCCTGTGAAAAACCTCACATGTAAACGGAAGCAGGATATAAGAGACATTATCAGGTCGCTAACAGACAAGAGAAATGCGGTAGAAAGGATAACCTAACAATTGGAAGAGCAGCCATTCGAGAAGGATGTTATCACTTGTGGAGTGCAAAGAAATAAGCAGAGATCAGGTAAATTATAATGGACCATGGAGTCAAAGTCTGTGTTAAGTCTCTGGGTTTTTTTGTATCCAGTAAGCTAATGATTTTTTGTTCCCCATCTTTTGAAGTTGCTCTGAATATTTCTCTTGAGCATGAGGACTGTAAGGTCAGAAAAGGGGTATTTTTTCTGTGAAAAATGTTCATCTACCTGCATTCTAGTTTCTGTCCTTCGCCTTTTTTCTGAGATCATTCTTTCCAATCTAATGTGATCATTAGGTTGAGTAATAAATAGGATGCATGTGTGTTACTTTGTTCAGGTACTCAGCTATTGAATACTGCTACCATTAAATTATTTAGACTATTGTAACACCTTACATTTGATAAAATCCAGTGGGGAATTAGGAGGTAGTGCTTTTGCTCCTGCAAATAGAGTCTGCACCTGAATTTTTGTGCAGCACTAGTCAGTGATGAGGACGAATCTGAGTGTTTGCACCTTCTCCTGGTCTGCAGGTTGTCAAGATCAGGGAGGTTGAGACTCGGCCTAGCCCAAAAGTTATCTGCAAATAACAACTTAGACTACAAAGACAGCTCTTACGAATAGTTATATTAAGGAAGCAGGCAGAAAGCCCAACCAGAAGAAGGACCCCAATCTGCAAGGTGCTATAGAGAAAGACAGATCTCTGAAAGAACTTACAATGTAAAAGACAAGTAACACTTGACAGGTGGAGGAAAGGGAGGCAAAAATATGCAATCTTCAACATATTCAAATTTTGAATAGGTACCTGCCTCAAATGCCCCTTGGGCCACGGGTATGTGAACAGTATATTCCAGGAAAACAATGAAGAAAAAAAGGTCCGATCACATGATGCAACTCTTAACTGAATGTAAGCGACTGCCCCATGACATTTTACTCCTGGGATGTGGTAGATTCTTCCCAGGACAGCTGTTCATTTGTGTGCTGCTGCCTTGAAGCAACCACCTCTAGGCTTTTGCTTTGAGGTTTCCAGTATTGAGGCAACTCCTTCAGATAAGTATAGCATCACCCTAGCCACGATATGCCACCAGTTTGTAGATGCTACAATGTTTAATGATGAGAAGTGAAGAGGTGAAAGTTAAGCCTCTTAGGACGCTATTCCAGGTGCTGCATATCATTCACTTTGAGACACCGAGCCTCATTCTCAGAGATGCTGAATACTTATGATTCTCCCTCAATTTCCCTGAGAGTTATGGGTGCTCAGCATCGCAGATAACCCCAACATTTTACATTACTCTCCATCTCCCTATCTATAAAATGTGGATAGTAATATGTACTTCACAGAAGTCTTGCATGACTTAATTAACAGTTGTAAAACACAGAGAACCTGGGATGAAAGCTGCTATGCAAGTGCAAGGCATTAACATCAGTTTATAATAATGCATTATATTTCTTCTATAAAAAGTTTTTAAAAAGAGGAGCTTATCTATTTTCTCCCAGTGTCTTTACTCTCTACGTGAACAAAAAGATCTTGCACAGCAGTTCATTAAAAAAAGAATTAACAGCCTATCATAATATCACACAACCAATCTTCCCCTGCTACTATCTTACTCAAAATGTCCATATTAAAGTCAACCTTGAGGCAAGTTTTTTAAAATAAATTATTTCACGCAGTCCATAAGATGAGAGACACTCTCTGGAAATAGGATAGTTAAATTTATTTAAACACCTATAAATGAAGCTCTAAATGAATTTAATGGCATGTAGTAAATTTGAAAGTTACTTTATAGATAGCAGAACTGCCAAAACCCAGGCTAATGAAGTTTCTGGAGCCAGCAATGAACCACATAATTGACAGAACTCCAAAATGGTACGGAATATTAAGGTAGTCCCTAGAAGGAACTTCAGATGCTTTATATCAGAAACTGAAGCCTAGAAGAAGATTCAAGAAATCAAAAACAAATGGTGGGAAGAGAAGGGGGAAAGAAATCCAACAATTTGCTGACATTCATGACATGTGGAGCTTCTCAGGTCCCTTCCGACCCTAACATGTATGAATCTATAACCTGACTCTTCATCAGGTTAAACAGGGTACTCCTCCCAAGCGTCATTCTCCTGAGTGATCTCCCACAAAAAGCAACCAGAAAGAGGACCGTCATGGATTTGGGCAAAGTTTTGCTGGCACAGCCATCAGCAAGTGGATGCGATCTTTTCACACCTCTAGCCAATGCAGTTCCACCAGAAAAATCAATGCCATGGGTGCAGTCATGCTGACAGAAAAGGCTTCTACCGACTAGCTTCTTTCATTTGGGGAAGCAGTGTAACAAAGGAAGGACAAACCCCACTTCTGTGGCCATATGGCATATCTCCACTACGGGGTTCCGCTGAGGTTCGTAACCCCAGAAAAAGGGCAGCCAAGGAACCATGTAAAGCTTCAGACTAGCAATCCTAATGCTTCTTCTCTCCCAGACGGAGCCCTCCCCAGCCATTATTAACTCTAGAAATGAACGGGTCAGCTCTGAAACTTCACGTACTGTACCTCTTATGGGTTTGCTGTCCAAGTACAGATTGCCATCAGAGAATGAAGGTTGCTCCAAACCTAGATACTCCTTTATAATGAGGCTCAGTTTTGTGTATGCCTCATCAAGATCATCTGCAAAAAAGTAAATGAATAAATAAATTAGCATTTCAAGGAGGGAAGAAAAGGATACCTAAGAGGATAACCATTGTGCACCCTCTAAAGTTACAGAATCAGAGAGGCCATTTGGAGCCTAGCCTGTGCCGTACGTTCTCTAATAAACATATCTCCAAAAATCTTGTCCCCATGTGACAAGACTTCCCTTACTTCTCCTGGGAGACTAAACTACAGCCAAACATACCTGTGAATAAAAGCCTTTCCCAAAATTCAGCCTGTAGTCTAAATTCTTATATTCTTCCTAAATGCTCCCCTTCTCAAACTTTATTTCTTAGGAATTACACTAAGAAGTAAGCTCCATGTATCCTTGACAATAATTAAAAATAAACACTAACATTTAACAAGACCATCCGTTTAATCTAAACCTCTAAACCTCCCCAAACAATGGCCATGCAAAAAAGTAATCTAGAAAAAAATCTCTGTCCTAAAGCCCTTCCTCATAATTTTCCCTCACTCCCTAAACATCCTAGAGAAAACATCGGCATCACAGAATGCCCTGGAGATGAGCAGATTCAATTATTTTACACCAAGACACTAAGCAAGTTATGAAGCAGAAGAACCATCACAAAGAATATCTTTGCAGCAGCATCCTTGCCTCATCTGTACCTGTTGACCTCAAACGGTACCAGTATGAAATAAGGATAAAGAGCTGACACTTTCAGAGCCTATCAGGCAAAAAAAACCCACCCACTGCTCTCAGCTAAGTTCAGAAACCAATACAGAAGTTAGGGCAAAACATGGAATAGCAACATCATAGCCTCAGATGGCACATTATTTAGTTTAGCTACTGTACTGCTGATTTCTGCACCAGGTTCAGTGTCTGGATGGATTTAGGATGTAGTTACCGCACAGTACAGTTAATACTGAGGTGACAAAGAGAGGGACCTGCAACTCTTTTTGACCCCAGGATAAAAAGTAGCTGAGTTGCTGTGTTTAGCTTTGGTGTATTCAATCCTGCTGCGCTTAACAACAATTTTCCTCCTCTTTTTTTTTTTTTGCTTCACAGACAGCTTTGTCTGCCAGGCAGTTTTATTGCTTCCATTGTCCTCACGCTGGGATGGCAATCAGATTTGTGGCACAGGGCAACCGGACTCACCCGTGTCAATTATTGCATCAAAATATCCTGGAGAATCCTGATTTATTTTGATATACATGTCCACTCTGGTGATGGCCTCCTCAATCTCTGGCCGGCTGAATATCCCCTTCCTCCGCAGATGTCCCTCGTATCTCTCTTTATTCATTGGTACAAGCAGGATATATCGTGGCTGAAAGTAGGAATTTTTCAAGCTTCGCACAGCCTTAAAGAACAAAAAGAAAGCACTTGCTGTTTTACTTCTAAAACTTGGTGCCTATCAGTGCTGGGTTCATGTTGTCCCTGTCTTTATAACAAACCTTCACTTACAGTAAGGTTGGAAAGGTATTCCACAATTTTAAAGAGATGGGACCAAGTTTGTCTCTTTTGTAAGGTATCCAGGTTGTAGCCATACTGGTCACCACCAAAAGAAACTCCTGCCCAGAAGACCTTTGCATCTTTCCACTCTTCTGTGAAATACGAAACATCATAACCTGGAGGAAATACACTTCTACATCCTGCTTGCCACCAGACAACTTCGAGGTAAAAAGACTTTGTCAACCTTTTTCTGGGCCTAACCTGGGCAAAATGAACTATTCCAAACAGGAGACCTTCAGCTCTCTTGTGAAATATGAATTTTCATTTCTACTTAGGAGAATTTTTACAATCTCTGCTCTCTCCTATGCCTGAGGAAGGGAGAGTGTATCCAAAAGCTTGCATATAAATAAAATAATTTGCTTGCAAATATCTAGTTGGTCTAATAAAAGACATCACACCTCTTCCACGAGTTTTGATCTGTTCTCTAAAGCACTTTAAGATCTACTGATGAAAACTGCTACCTAACAGCTAGGGACTGCAGAAGCATCATGAGTTCATGGGTCAGAGTCGGGGGGTGCAAGGGTACGCTGACCACTGTAGACCAGAGGAAGGAAGGGACATGGGGGGGTGAGGAAAAGGGAAGGCTTACCTTCCTGGGCTACTGCTGCCACTGCTGTAGCATCAGCTCCACATCAGTGGCAGCAGCCATGTGGCATGGCCAGGCTCCCTGAGAGCGGACCCTGGTGCCCCGCTCCACATATATTTGGTGCAGGGCTCTACCTGCTCTGACAAAGACTGGAGAGGGGTGGAGGAGGACCATTCCACTTGCTCCACTTGTCCCCCACACCCAGGTACACTGCTTGGTGTGGCACTGCCCTGCCCAACTCCTACGGCAGAGCGGGAATGGGGGTCCGAGTGCCCCTTGCAGTCATCGCCAGGGCAGGTGCTCTGCTTGCCTTGCCATAGCTATACTACTGAGATATTGTTATAATGGTTATCATTACATGAGTACGACTCTCAGGGAAGCCTCCTGGTCCAACTCAGTAGTCATTTAAAGCAGAGCCATGCAACCTTTGAGGGGCCAGGGCTGCAGGCCCCCAAGGCACACATTGCACCGGGCTGCCCACCCCACAGGCCGCATGTTGTGTGGGCCTCAAGGCCCTGCGGCTGCATCACGTGGGCCCCACTGTGCTGCATGGACATGACAACCCATTTGATTGCTATGCAGTCTGCAACACCTGCTGCACCACACTAGTGCCTCTGTGCCACGCAGGGTCCCCAGGTACCCCACAGTCCCCAGCTATGGGCTCCCTCAGCCCTGCAGGCCACACTGGTCCACCCCCAGGGCAGAAGCTGGAGGAGGAAGGGTGAGTCAAGGATCTCCATCAGTAGCAGAGAGGAGAGCAAAGGAGGAAGTGGCACCTGGACTGGGAGCACCAGGGCTAGAAGTTAATCCCTCAGGGGTCGCATGCACCTGCAGGCTGCCACTTACACGGCCCTGGTTTACATCACCACTTATTCTGGCCCTCGGATTTCTACCAAGAATAAGATCAGAGCTTTCTTCTCAATCAGGATGGTTTTTTAACTGATGCCAAGCGGCACAACTCAGTGCTTAGAGGGTGAACCTTCACTAAGCCAGTCCTCTTTGAGGTCACATATCTGAACAGTATAAAACAGCCTGCAACATTTTTAGAGGATCCTGAAGAATCCAGCAAACATCCAATTACAGATGTGCTTTGGGTCAAATTCTGCACACGGGACTGCAGGCTGCAGCCCCCCTGCTCCAGGTTTCATGTGGGCTGCTCCCTCTAGGCTGCCCAACACAACCTTTGGGTTTATACTAGCAATCACTAGAGCGAATGTCCGATCCTCCAAACTACCTACATTGACCAGTTCACCAGTCAAATCACCCATCTCTTGGGTGGCATATGAGAATGGCTAAATTACATCTGGAAAAGAAGCGAGAAAGGAACCAAAGGGAAATATGGGAGGCATTTAGGGAAACAGAACATAATTACCCAAGTGGAATTCAGACAGAATGCTAAAAAGTAACTCCCTTACCCCCAAAATGTTGAGGTGCTCTTCAGTTACAACCCAGATATATAAAACAAGCATGGCTGCAGGGGAGAGGGGCATGGAAACAGATACAATAGAAACAGCAATTTAAAAATTAGGATCATTTCAGACCATCTGAAACCAGGAAGCAGTTTGGTCCCTGTTTGTCGAGTGAAGGGATTAGTAGCAAGTTACTTACAATTCTCTCCTTATTAAAATGTAAGTTACAGGTAGAACAGATGGCACTTTTATTTAATAATAATTATGATAAAGCACCAGCTCAATGGCTGCCTTACATGGGTTGCTGCAAAGCAGTTTTATAATACAAGAAGATGAGATTTAACTCATGAGAAAAGCAATAAGTAGTGGAGCAAAGCAAACTCCTACACTCAATTTGGTGGCAACTTCCCTGTTTATCTCTTTGTCCATCCTGGATGTAAAAGAAATAACTTTGAACACCATATCCAATCAATTCCAGCATTGCAGGAGCATTGTACGCATCAACTAGCAGAGCCCTATTGATTTTGGTGACCAGTGGAAGAGGGGGAAAGGGAATCAAAGGGTTCTGAACGTTTAGCCAGAGCCCCTGGCCCCCAGTTAATACTCCCATTAATTTTTACCAAGTCTGAATGTACATGTCCACACCAAAGGACATGGAAAGGTTGCAATGAGGCACAAAACCCCCACTCTATGCATGATGCACCCAAAAAGGGTGCAACACAGCTGCCCTTAATAAATACTGGGCATACAACCATAAGCATGCCCAAAGCAGACAGCTCTTTCCACACGCTGCTCTAAGGAAAGTTATGTTGGGCTGCAGGGCACTCCAAGCAGGTCTTCCCTAACATGGTCCTTTGACAGGACAGAAATGCCCTGTCTACAGATTAAACCACCCCCCCCCCCCCAAAACAGCTGACAGCTGCCATAGATACCTTCCAGCATAATATCCACTGCTCCATCTCAGCTCTAAAAAGGTGAAACACCCTAAATGTCTTACCTCCCAGACAGAGAGAACTGCTACATTTACTCGATTTTAAGATTATTTTGAATTTAAGATGACCCCGCACAATAATTAGATTCTAGACATGGAAAATTATAGCAAATTTATAATTTTCCATATCTAGAATCTAATTATTGGTGGGTCATCTTAAATGCGTCTCCGCACTGCTGCAGCTGGAAAACAGCAGCAGGGAGGCAGGCAATAGGAAAAGCAGAAGCAAGGGGGCAGGCGAGGTGGGGGGAAGAAGAGGTTGGGGTAAAGAGTAAAGAAAGCAGGGTTGAGGAGGAGAAGAAAGCAGGGGCAGGCGCAGGGGAAAGCTGAGGCTGGGGAAAAGCAGAGCGGCTGATGCTGTCCCTGCCCCGGCTGGGCTTCCTGCACAACTGTTTCTCCCAGCTCCCAGTTATGATACCCTATTCTAAGATGAGGCTTTGTTTTCCCCATGATGATCGGGGGGAAAACCCTTGATTTAGAATTGAGTAAATATGGTAACTTAACAAAACACAAATCATCTTAGCCATTACTCTATCTGCATCTGTCCCTAAAAGAGAGGGAAAGCAAGAATTGTGGGGGGAATGGAGAGATGGAAGGAGCCTTTGGTGTATACAAACTTGTCTCATATAAAAAATGTGGTATCATTGAAATGAGGGGTGGGCAAGTGGACCATGGTGGGACTAACTGGGTCAGAAACTGAAGATGCATCTGAAATGCAAACCATAAATTGCATTTCAGATGCAAAACATAAATTGCTTGCCTACTTTGCATCTGCAGCACCTACAACTATATGTGCAAACTGTGCGACTACAGACACCAGCAGCCAAGGGGAGAAGGGGGAGGACTGAAAAGTCCAAACCTGATCCCAGTTCCTGAAAAAATCAGGTCAGTTGGTGCTCAGCAATCCTGCCCTGACTCCTCCTTTCAATGTGTTGAACACATTCACTTGTAAGGTAGGTGCTCTGGTCCTTGATGTGCTAGAGGATCTTTCTGGGTCAAGTTCTCTTCTCTTTGCCTTGGGGTTGTCCAAAAAGGGGGATCTTGTTATCCACCATTCTCAGAACATGGACAATGTACGTCCACCTTCTTGCCTGTACCTTTTGTGCAGCCGTTGATAACTGTATGTGCTCCAAGGTTTCCACATTCTTTATTGGAGCAAGGTAATATCTTTATTGGAGCAAGGTAATAGCTAATATCTGGGCAAGGTATCCACACAGAAAGCTTATCAACTTTCCTTGGAAAGACCTGCAGTTTTTCTATGACTCTGATCCATACAGGGGTATGCCTAGGACACTGCTACTTAAGATTCACATCTTACTGCTGATGGTGTTAGATGTCCTTTGACAATATTTCTCCTATGTACCAGAATGCAATGCAACTTCCCTGACTAGACATTTATTTACTACAAAGGGACCAGTAAACTTGTATAAAGTTAGCAGTAGGAAATGTGCTCTAGATTAAAGGGAATTAAATGGCTCTGAATGTTTAGCATTGGCTCATTGGCTATGATTAAAAATTTCTCTTAGTAGTGTTAAATTACTTTGTTATAGGCTTACCAGAACATAATGGACTAGAATATTTTCTGGATATGTCTATCTGGTGCGAGGAGCACTGGGCTGAGATGCACACTAGCTCCCAAACTGAACGTAGTGTAACCAGGTTAGTATAGTGCTGCAAACATGCCAATAAGTTCTGCCTTGCAGAGGGATACCTGAGGGTGTATAAGTCATTGCTGTATTTTTGTCGCCGAAATCCATAGCAATTTAGACTGCTCCATAATTATTACACAATTATAGAAGTCTGGCACTAGAGAGGTTTCTTAACTGGCTGCCCATGATACTCTTGTCACTAATACTCAGTCTGTCCCCCATACCTATGGGATCTCTTTTTTAGTAAATATAATTCCATGGAGCTCTTACTTCTAAACCACTTAATACGGCACCTGCTTGGTGAAACATTCCTTGGAGATCTCAGAAGAGCAGAGATTCCCTATGCCTGATGAAGGGTGCTTGTGCCCGAAAGTTTGCAAATAACTTTTTTCCAACTACTCAGTTGGTCTAATAAAAGATCTCACATCTACTCAAAGACGTTTGCCTGCCAAACGTTGAGACACATTTCCACTGTCATGGTCTCTTTGTCTTCGTATGTGAACTCAAAGCTCTAGGCTGCAAGAAGGCAAGCACACACGATGCTATCTAAAAATCAGCGGGAACTGAAGATAATTCACTGTTTAATGAACAAGACAGACAAAGGGTGGGAAAGGGAACAGAGCCACAGAGAGATTAAGTTACTTGGATGAGATTGCACAGCAGTTCAGTACCAGGCACTTGCTTGGCTACCATTGGCCCTCAAGTATGTGGGGATGGGGAATTGGTGGGGGGGAGGCTAGACAATTTATTGACACTGATGAGCAACCTTATAAGTAATGAATAATGTACATACATTACTGTATATACCAAATATCTAGACATACAAGAAGGTAAAACACACCCGATTAATCCCTTCAATAACTGTATGACAAAGTGCTTTCTGATTTTCTTAGTGATGATTTGATTGTCACTCAAAGTCATGTTTTACTGATCCACACTCATTTGATGTCTGTCTGTCTTATGTTAAGAAATCTGAGACCAGTTTCTGATGTACTTATGTGCAATGGTATCTTAGCTCATAAGCAATCCTGATCATTTCAACACAGCTGGTTGGTGCATAAGGGATCAAACCCCCTTTCAGTAAATGTACAACTCACGGCCCATGGCTACTGCACTGCCAAACAACAGGATATCTCAGTTGGAGGAAAGGGCAGCATGGTCTAAAGCAATGATTTTCAACCAAGGTACTATGGCACCCTGGCATGCTTTGAGATACTTTCAAGAGTGCTCCAAGGTGCCAACTAATGTTAGCACTGTTATGCATACAAACATGAGTTACAGGATAAACCTAGAAATTTCAAAAAGGAATCCAGAGTCAAAATAATTTGCCTTGTTGTGGTCTTTCTGAGTTCTTTGCAATAGGAGACTTGCTCTATTATGTTTCTGTAGTCCAAACATGAGTGCAAGCTAAGAACTGGCATTTTCAAGGGGGCGCCTTGAGTCTAAAAAGATTCAGAACTACTAATTTAGTGGACAGGTCAATGACGGAATCAGTAGTGGATATTCCTGACTGTGCTACTAAATTGTTGTATAACCTTGGTCACATAACTTGAACTTTCTGTGGCTGTTTTCTCTCTGAGACTTGGTGTACCTAGTCAATCAAGCCTGTAAACTCTTCAAGGGGATTTTGTGTCAGTAAGTGGCTATACTCTGTCTCCCACAATGGGACTCCCATCTCATTTGGAAATTCAAGGTGCTGTGAAATCCTATGAAGCTTCATGTCTTATTCTGCGCAATCTCCACTTTCATAATCCCCTTTAACTGTTACAGTGAGCAGAGTATAACCCATGTGGAGATACCTACATCAGTCTGCAAAGCACATGCACCAGTTACTCTGGGAGATATGAACTGCTTTTGCATGTCAGTGCAGTATTATCTACCGACTCCACAATGAGGATAATTTAAATGTCAATGTTGTTAATTATTTCATTCCTTGTTACAAATCTGTACAATTTACCAGGAGTTACAGTTTATTTTGGCACCAGCTGGAAGACACCTCTACAAAGGAAGAGCCAAAAATGGGCGTGTAGTAGCCCCAACTAAAAAGGAGCTGAACTCAAAAAACTTTGTGGAACTACGTGGCACATGCAATCACAATTTGAACATCTGTAGAAACTACCATCAATGGAAATTTGTTTGCAAAGCTCACAAGGATGGGGCATATCTTCTGATGGGGACGGAAAGAATCTGTCTATTAGTACTTGTAAATCTTGATCTATGTATCTTTGTCGGTCATAGTAAGCATTATGTACATCAAGAACAAATAGCAAAACTAAACCCGATTGATTAGGATTCATACTGGACAAGGTTCCACATTTTGCAATAGATAACACTTACCTCTATTTCCAAATGAACACAACTTGCAAGTCCTTCTCTGGCAATTGATTCTACAGTCTCTCTTCCTAGGCCATAGTAATAGCCACTATATTTATAGGTTGCAATAAATTTCCCCTGAAAATAAACACAGTAATGCATCATGACAATGGAAAGACTGTGATGACAACTGTCCTACATGGTAGCATGGTAAAAATGATCATTCTAGACTTCTTCAGCTCCCATTAGTAAAAGGCCCTACCATGCCTAAATCATCAGTGATAACGAGGCCACAGAGCGCAAAATTTGCAGCGAAGAGCAAAGAGTAGGGGCCCAAGGGTACAGGTTTGTTCATGGATAATAAAACATCAGTTCCTGTAAAACAATCTGCTGACAGGTTACAGCTTTTCATTGGTTATTCATTCACATGGGAAAAGAACACAAGATCTGAAGCAAGGGGCATCTTCCTTTGATACTGCATCACACCATAACGCAGCATCGGATGAAACAGAAGATACTAAAGATGAGAAGGGAGACACAAAGCAAACCTGGAAGGAGACTGTATAACTGAAAGGGAAATTTCAACATTAAAACTTGGGTAATGAAACTTTGGTACTCCACAGCGTGTGCCCAAAGAGATGTAAATATCTGACACTGAGGAGGAGTTACTAAGCGCACACGGTGGCTTAAGAATTCCTGGGCTTTCCTGCTTGTGGGGACAGAAATAATGAGCGGCAGCAGGGCGTTTCAAGCTAAAACTGCACTGTAGGACCAGAAGCGCACTAGAAACAGTAGCTGAAGGGATTCTGCCCATAGAGGGAAAAGGGACAGAGAAGATGCCTTCTGGGTGAATTTCCTGTCCTTTAAAAGCTTGTGGTCCCAAGCAGGGCTGCTGAAAAAGATGACAAGCCATTTGGGCCTTCCAGCACCACTGTTCTCCTAACCCACATGGGCTATGTGCATATGCAAATAAGCAACAATTTAATTGCAAGACAGTGTAAGATTCCAACCGAGCATTCGGCCTGTTGTACTCGGCACTTCTGTAAGTACGATAAGAGACGGTGTAAACAGCCATTTGTACATCCACGCACCAGCTGCGGTTACTGTTCATACGTGTTGGTTACATAGCAGTACACACACTTTTTTTTTCTCCCAGAAATTAGGTCCTTAAAAGCTTTTTTTCTAAAGGAAAGAGCAATGGACTTATTGATGCCACAGGAACAAGCCTAGTTAGACACTCCTCCAATGCTTACCATGTTCACCATTTTATCAAATGCTTCCTGAGAAACGAAGTAGAAATCAAGTCTGTTTTCTTCTCCAAAATAGGGCGCCCTCGTGGTATGACAGGGACTGGAAGATATATAGGATAATAATGAAATAACTTGTTTTCAATCATTGAAGCAGCTATATAGTGGGAGGGAGAATAAGGAAGAATGCTACAAATCATTTTATTTTAAAGGAGAGAAGAAATATGAGAAATATAAAGAGGTGCAAATCATACCCCCAATGCTGCGTATTTGAAAGACTAACCTATAAATACAAAAAAAACTGTATTAATATAACATTATATTTTGGCTATAAATCTAAAAAAGCCAGGACAGCCCGAGCTGACACTGTCACAGCACCCTGAAGTTGGGAAAAGATGGATTCGTTTGTTTGCCTGTGTCAATTCCTGGTGGGCAGGGAGAGGAATTTTAAGTAGGGGAAGACCTGGTGGGGGTTAAGTTGAACAAAGCATGGAAGGAGTAGGCAAAACAGAGGTTCTCAATTTTTTGGGGCTCAGGGCCCTCCCCAGAAAATGCCAGTTCTTCGCTATCACTTGTTTCCTGAGTACAGAAAAGTAACAGCAATTCTTCTGTTGCAAAGAACTTAGGAAGACCGTAGCAGGTCCACTGGGTTTGCATTTGAAATCTTTGACTTTATGTTGTGAATTGTATGTAGGCATTTTCACATCTAATGGCAACATCCTTAAAAGCATCTCCCAGCTCCCCAGGATGCTGCAGCACCCTGGCTGAGAGCCATTGAGGTAGAACAACCAGGCACATGCTAAAATTGCAGTGCCAAAAAGAAATCAGAGCTGGGATCAGTGGTCAGCTGGAAGTGGGACAGGAAGAGGAACTATTTCAAATGGTCACTACCACATAAAACAATGTAATGCACCTGACACGGAAACTTTATTCTAGAATAAAATGAACGTGAACTTGAATCTGGCTCTTTATTTAAGTTCATGTACAAAGAGATTTTGGTTTAAAGGTTTCAACAATTTTCTACTCATTCTGCTGCAATTAGCCATTGTGCATCTGGTCTCAGCCACTCACAGCAGTGGCTCATGCCCTATTATTGGCAGATGATACCTTGCCTTTTTTTTTTTAATTTACACTGTAAGCAAGTGAAACAAAAATGTCATGCAGATCTCTGGCGCAGACTTACACTGATAACATTTTGTCTCCTTGGCTTTTGATAAACCCAGCAAAAAGTCATTCACATCTAAATTAGACTGAGCCTGGCTGATAATGAGTTTTAATCAGTTTTGTGACATAAAACCGGACAGACAGCTTGCATGCTGAAGGTTAGGGCCACACTGAACATTACAGCTTGAAAAATGCCTTTTCATACTTAGATCCAGCAATGTTCAGGGCACTGGTCATGTCTACATGAGCAGAGGACTGTGCAGAGGGGACTGCACAGTGGTTACTACACAGTCATTTAGTACTCGTTTAAGCAAGTACAAATACTAACCAGCGTTACTGCACAGTCCCATCGCCGCATGGTTACTTGTAGATGCTACTGCGCAGTAGCATCGCCGTCACGGTTTGTGCCCTGCGATGCTACGGTGCAGTAGCTCATTGCCACAGTGACATAGCATATCATGTAGACGCGCCCAGTGGCACTCAATGTTTAACCCTTGCAGGCCTGATAAGTGGCTCTGGGCTGGTCCGTGGGCCAGATTGGGGCCCCATGTTTCCTGCACCCAGTCTGCATGCCCTAATCATGCTCCATGCGGCCTTCGCTGGGATGAAGACCTGCACTGCCCAGCGTTCCCAATCCAGCCTGCAGGACCACACTATCTGGCCCAGGGAGTTCCCCATGGACAATCTGGCCACTGCTTCCCTGCTGCCAATTTTTCAGATCTTTGTTCCCTGGGGGCTGGATCAGACTCATGGGCCAGGGGTTGAGTACCTCGGTCTAGGTACTCAAGGGACCGGAGGGCAGGAGTCCTAGATTCCATTTCCAAGCTTGACATCCACCTGTTTTATTTGGATATGGGGTATCACTGAAGACAAACCACATACAAAACCAGGAGCAACAGTCTCAAGTTCCAGCAAGGGAAGTTTAGATTGGATATTAGGAAAAACTTCCTCACTAGATGGGTAATAAAGCACTGGAACAAGTTACCCGGAAAGGTGATGGACTCTCCATCCTTGGAGGTTTTCAAGAGAAAACCCTGGCTAGGATGATGTAGCTGGGGCTGGTCCTGCTTGGAGCAGAGGGTTACACTAGATGTGACCTCCTGAGGTCCCTTCCAACCCTCATTTTCGATGATTCAATACTTGTGGGCCTGAGTCTCAGATATATTCTGTCGCTTTTATATTGCCAGGGCATGGTAAAGGGAACATACAGTAAGAGAAAATTCTAATCTTATGTCTACTACTTCACCTGCCAAAAGCAATGCAAGTACCACTTGATCTTAATCTGGAATTGCAAATATTTCATTTAATTCTCTTTTTTGTTCCAAAGGTGTTTCAGTAGGTTCTTAACAATATAATAAGTCTATTCTGATCATTTGAGGGTTTTTTTAATGAAAACCATGTAACACTTACTTGTCTGGTTTCTTTGTAATGGTGCTTATCGATGAATAAATATATACAGTTCTGGGGGGGGGAAAAAAAGCCCTGCCAGACTAATTTATTCTATTTTTTTCCCAGTACTAAGATATTAGGTATAATGTTGAAGAAGTTCTTTTCTTTTCTTTAAGACAGCTGAGTTGTAAACCACTAAGAAGTCAGGTTTATGATGCAGAGGTTGACAGATCTTTAAATGTAGCAGCATTAGTGGGTGCCACTATTTTATCAGTAAGCTGTGGTAAATGAGAACAGTGTGCTACACATGGGCTATATAAAACTTACACTTCAAAGGCTGATTTTCTTAAAGATATTATAAATGTACCCAGCTTTAAAGGTCATTCCTGAGCACTAGCCAGATGGTTTCAGAGTCTAATTTCACTTTATTTTTTGAATCTCTTTTTCACGTTACAACCCTTTTTAATTGCAAGGCCATGTTTACATTCAACTTGCCAGGATATCTTGCATGAAATACATTTTTAATGAGTGCAATGTTTGAAATTTAAGAGAGTAGGCCATAATATTGCTTAAATCTCCACTGAATAATTTAAATACAACTTTGCTTTACAGTTGCAATTTTCTGCTCTGTTAAGATTCTGTCTCTTTTTCTCCCTCACACATAATGCTTTTAGGGAATAAAGTGTATACATAAAAAAGACATGTTCTTCAAAACCACACAGTGAAAATTCCAACCAGTTTGCAATTGGTTGCAATTTCAAAGCTTACAAAATTCTAGCAAAAAAATGGAGTTGGCACATTTGATTTTTCCAGTCATGTAATCTTTGCAGCTTTTCTGTCAAATGGCCGTTTGACTTACTAAATTAGCTCATGAATCGCTTCTCAGCCTTTTATAGGCTAAGATCAAGTGTAGAACCCATTCTTATCAGCTATATATTGCAAACACCGAGCAAGAAGAAATACAAATAGGCTTCTTCACAGAGTAGGCAGATCCTGATCTACAATATTGAACAAAGACCTAGTCCAGGGTGCTGTGGTACTAGGCTTTTGAAGAATCAACTCCACTTGTCAGTTAATGAATATACCTAATTATTAGCTGTATTCTTAATAGTTATTACACTATTACCCAAGAACCTCCCCCATTAGGATTGGGGCTCTGCTCAGACAATCGCTGTATATATAACTAGAAGAGAAAGTCCCTGCCTCAAAGAATCTAAAGAGACAATGCAACCAATGTGCAATGAACAGAGGTAATGGAGGAGAGAGAATGGGGGTAAGAAAGTGTAATGCTGACAGCAATGGATGTTACAGGTCACTGCAGCGTATGCTATATAGCACTACCTTTGAAAGTTCAACACTGCTTTTGGTTAAGTGTAGAAAATGCCTATTTACTTTCATGACAGTAGCCTTAAGGGAGAGCACATTACAGTGGTCCCAGCAATTACAGTAGCTTCCTATTCGCTTCTGAATGCAATCTGTACAGGCGCCCTAACGTCTTTGAAACTGGGCACATTATATAATGCTCAGCAGAAAAGTTTGCACTTCTCTAGTGAGACAGGGGGGCAAAGACTGGATGAGTGGATGGACACAAGAAACACTAGAGCTGCTTTTTTTTTTTTTTCACTTTGCAGTTCACCTTGAAAGGATCATGATATTTATGACAGCGTGCTTATTCAAAATAGGGAAGATAAATTAGGACTTCAGGCAATCTGGATCTGGTAAGAGACAGAACACATTGCAACACCCATTTAACTTGTTTAAAAAAAATGCAACAAAATTAGCCTTGCTCCCACTCCATGTTTTCTTAAGTGCCTGGGGTGAATTTACCTGTATCTGAAGAAATTGTTGAACTGTCTGCAGATTCTGTGAGTAAGTTCCCGCTTCCCGCAGGCCACGGGCCCAACAAATATCAGCATGGGGTAGGGAGCATCAAGACTAGGCAAAGTGCTGCAAGAAGGGAAAACAAAGCGTTATTGTACCTCCTGCAATGGACACTTTCACTCATGTTTTATAAGCTCTTTGCATATTTTGTCATCACTGGAACTTAACTCCTCTACTTGTTGCATTAGTCTCATAATTTATGCCACAAAGCAACAATAGACAAAGAAGCATGTGCAGTTGGGCAAATTTTAAACAATAAATTCAGCACAGAATATTTAATAAGAGAAGTCCCAGCATTTTTCACATGAGGAAGACTACAATACGGGGTGAATCTGGCTCAGACTATAACTTGGATTTGCAGCTTTTTTTGAAATGCTCTCTGCTGCTACAAAGATGCCCAATGATCATATTTTACTGGTCAAAAAAGTGGGCCTTGTATGTGTCTAGGGCTGACCCTGCAAACCTTTATACGCTCCTGCATTTAATCTCATGAACTTCAAAGGTTTGCTGGAACAGGGCAGCAGTTTGTAAAGTGCTTTATAGTTCAGTTGGATGGAAGTCATTAAGGTGTATGGGCCCAATCTTGTGCAGTGCTAAGCACCCTCCCCTCCCACCAACACTGACAGAAGTAGAAAGCATTCAGGACCCTAAGACAGAATTCGAAGTGCTTGCAAAAATACAGCAACCTAACTTCAGACACACATTTTTATATCTTGGCCCAAGTCTATGTTTAGATACTGGAATCAGCAGCTCGATTTTTCAGAAGTGATAAGCATCCAGCTGCAAACAAAGAGTCAAGGCAATTTGTGGGCGCTCAGCACTTTTGAAAGTCAGACCACTTATTTAGGTGCCTAAATATGGAACGTAACTTGAGGCTCTCATTTTTTTAAAATCTTCACTACGGTTTTTAAAATTACGCCATTTGAAAACGTGTCAAAAACCAGCTGAAATAATTTTTAAAATATCCTACTTTTGAAGCTAATAAATGGCCTGACCCATTTACGTTTTATTTTAAAGGGGGAAAATATTACATCTGTGCGCCAAACTTCAGTCTAATGTGATTTAAAACAGCTGAATATAAATCCCTGAAAACAGGGTTTATAATGGAAATGGCAAGAGAAATAGATGACTAAATCTATCTGAAATAATGATAACCTTCCAGCATAAGCTAAGAAAAAAATTAGATAGTTCAGACTAATGGTTTCCCGCCTGCATTAGCTCACACCAGCAAAACAGCTCGATCCATCTAGGCACTTCTCTAATACCATACTATCTTGGTGGCAGTAAAGCATTATTAGATTTTATCTTCTTAACATCCCTGTGAAGAAGGGAAGTACTATCCCTACTTCAGGGGTGAGAAACAGAGGAAAAAGAGCAAATTTAGTGACTTTTCCAAGGTCACGGGGTATTCTGGAGATAAACTGGGAACTGAATCTTGGTCTTTGAGTCCCAGAGTAGCACACTACGTCCCCTTAAACACTAACGGCAGAATAGCAGCAGAATCCCTCAGTAGACTTATAGCGTTTTATGGCATATTGTTTGCCTTTTATTCTGGTTACAAACATATTTATACAACAATTATGAAGAAAATATTAGCAAAATAACTTGGGACATTAAGAATGCCAATATGGTAAAATATGTAAAACATATTGCTGGACAAAAACCTGCTAAAGTGATATATTCTGTTTAATTAAGCAGCTTTCCTTCCCTTCTTGGTTTCTCCATCTTTTCAGGTTGCCTTTCCTTTGCTGTTTGGAAAAAGACTGGCTCAACACAACATGGCCCCGAGAGATACCGCCAAGAAGAGCAACTACTATCATGAGTCTATTATTAAAAAGGGCCTGTAAGGAAGATATGAATTGTATGAAAAATGTTTAATAACTGGTGATTCAGGATTTATCTACACACAGTAGAAGCACCCTCATTAGCTACCTGAGGCCCTATTCCTTGTGAATAATAACACCAACCCAGCTTTTGAAGATATAAAATTCCTATCTTCAACATGGCTCTTAATTTATATTTCTTATAAGTACATAAGGCCCTGATATGGATTTCTGACTTGGACTTCATTCTTCAACTTGTTCTTTTCCAGAATAATGTCATATCCCATACTGATATAATATAGTATTAGTGGATATGATCACACACAGAACTCTAGCTTCTTTAAACAAAGTTCCTTGATTTTTTTTTTTTTGGTATATCAGATGGACAAGGAACACATTTTACAATATCCTACAGTGTTTCAAATGACCCTATGACATCATGTAATTTTTTTCCTACAATATTGCAAGGAGTATCTTGTAAGGCGAGGAACCCTTGAGTTCATTTGTTGTGCATAGGCCAACATAAATTGTCTCTGGCATACAGAGTAGTATGCAGCTGTCTCAGAGTCATAGATTTTAAGTCCAGGAGGGATGATTGTGATTATCTAGTCTGTCCTTGTGCATAACATAGGTCCAGGACTTCCTGAAATAAATCCTGCTTCAAGTCAGATAACTGACTGAGCTAGATAAAATCTTGGGGGAAAAAAATCTCCAATCTTGATTTTAAAATTTCCACTGGTAGAGTATCCTGGTATCCTGATAAGGTGTTCCAAGGGCTAATTAGCCTCTCAAAAAATAAAATAAAATAAAAATAAAATAAAATTGCCTTTTCTCTAGTCTGAATATGCCTAGTTTTCAACCTTGGGTCATGTTACACATTTTTCTGGTAGACTGAAGAGCTACCTGTTATCAAATTCCTGGTCCTCATGTAGATTTTTATGGGCTGTGATTAAATCACCCTTTTCACCTGCATCTAAGGTTGCGGAAGAAATCACGTATTGTTTAAGTAATAGCAGGTTATCATGTAATTAAAGACAGCATCATAAAACATATGCAGAAAGGGCATTGCACAAATAATGGCAATATTGACATTTCCTGATCATTAAGTGTGTAACTTTTCAACTTTATGGCTCTCTCTAATTTTGTTTGAATGGAATTATTATTAATAATTGAAAAATAAAAAATGGCTTGTGTATGATCTAGGGATATTAATGCAAATGAGCTATAAAAATGACTCTAAATAAGCATTTTCTAATTTAGAAATTTAGAGGGGAAAAAAGCATCATTAGGAATGTTTCATTAATGAGCATGGTGCATGCTCTTCCAGCTGCATACTGGCAAACACTCAAAGCTTCATTAACATTACGAGTCACTACCTTAAGTGCCAATCCATATGCTTACCTGTTTGTTTATAGAGGACCTCTTAAAGCATACAGATTTTTACTGAAAAGTACATGTTTAGCAATAAAATATACGTAACTATAAACCAATATCTGAACTACATCTATGTCTGGTTTAGAAGGAATTCATAGCATGGATCTTCTGCAAAGTCGTCATGTGCTTGAAGAGATCCCAATCCTGCAAGATAATAATTGATTTTACAGGCCAACGGGCACCTGTGGGGGAATGAGCAACATAAGGGGGGTGTGTTTAGCATTTTTCAGGATCAGTCCCAGGGGGCAATGCAAGAATCTTAACAAACACGCAGATTTTTGAATTACTAACCATAGGCCTAAAAGTAGGGTGCTTGGCTATGTATTTAGATGCCCAAATGGATGAGTAGATGCCTAAAATAGACTTTGGGATACAGAAGTGAGCATGGGAATTTTGCCAATAATAATAAAACTGTGTATTTATATCATCTTTAATTGACTGTTGCAAAGCACTCTGCAAACATTCATGAAATAGGCATTGCAATGCCTGCATGAGGTAGACAAGTCCCGTCATTCCTGTCCTATAGCCAAGAAACAAAGCAGAGAGAAGATGCACAACAAAACAATGCCAGGCCTGGAAACATCACCTAGAACTCAGTCTCGTCTCTGTGCTTTCGTCTGTGGTCAACACCTTCCCCTCTCAAAATGCAGAATTGGCTGGGCTTCAGTGTAAATTTGAAAGTTTGGCTCCAAACATGTAAATTGTGCTCCAAGTTGCAAAGTAAAGCCATTTTGCTCACAATGGGATGTCAACAGTGTGAAGGGAAGGAGTAAATAGAGTAGGAAGAAGTTACGTTGCAGAGTTTGCTTCACCCTCTAGAGATTTTTAAATTGCCTGTGGGTATTGATAGAATTTTTGCATCTTTCATTTCTGGTGCGAATGGCCATCTGCTTCAGCAGATTGTTTAAAAGAAATGGAGCTTTGGGCAATCTGTCTCAGAGTGTAGAGGTGAGCAACTAACTTAATTTCATAATCAACTCAACCAAACAAGATTTGCCTAATTTCCAGACTGATAATAGCAAACTACAGAATGCCTACTCTTCATTAGATGGATTTAAAGGTGTGAAAGTGATGGAGAGCCCTCCCCTGGACGAGGACAATTCATTCTGCTTTACTCGACTGCCACCTAAAGGACTGGACATGAACTGGAGGTAAGGTTACCTGTCAAAGATCCTCTGTGGCTGCATCAGGCTGTACATTACGTGGGTTATGTGATCTTTCGCACCAACCACTTCTGGAGGAGGGTCATACTTATTCACCGCAGCGACCTGTTAGGAGAATAAGAAGGCAACGGGAAGAAGAACAGCCAAGTCGTTGCTCTTACTGGCAATACGCTGCACAGAGTACTGTGAATAATGAGGACTTCCTTCTTTTCTTGTGCTCATCCTTGTATCTGGCTTGTTCATAATCATGTGTGTGTGTGTATATGTATATATAATATATATATATATAATCTTTTGGGGAGGTTTAAATACAGTTTAAACTGTACATTATACAGTTTAAACTGAGATGGAAAACATCTCACGCTATCTCAGCATCTTTCTGTAATTTATTCTAGCTTTTCCTGGAAGGAGGGCAGAGGCTAAGGGAAGCAAATCATCTTATAAAGCGCACAGTGACTTTGTTTATGATTTAGTTTTCCTTTTGTGTGTGTGTGTTTTTTCTTGGTTCTAGTGAAGGACAGCAAATTGAAAGACAGAGTCCTTCATTTATTTCCCAGGAAGGGAATGACAGGAGCAGTTGCAGTGTAAGCTTGTTACAAAGCCACCCTAAAAAGGACTTCGGTCCTCATCTTGGAAGGAGAAGGGAGTCCAAACACATCCCATTCTAGCCTATTTTGCGGAAAGGTCTAGCTGGTGCTGACAAATGGTGGATTTTTCTTGTTAATGTAATCAGCTTATTTGGAAATGGACTAAGAACCACTGAGTCATTTTGTATAGGCTACAACGATCAGATAGCAGCATAAGCTGGTGACTTAGGCTCTGGCTATATTTGCTGAGAAGTCATGGCTGATAACAGTTCTGATATGTTTTACGAGTCTAGAGTGAATGAGCTGAAATGATGGTAAGGGCCACATTAAAAAGAATTTTCTATTCAAGGTTTCAACTTCGGTAGCAATTTACTGTCCTAATGGTTCTAACACGGTTGTGGCCCAAGCACTGTGTATAGCTCACATATCAGTATAGAGGTGAAAGGTCCACCTGCTTATCAACCAGTCCCTCCAGTTATTTCTTACTAAAAGCTGTTTTAAAATCAGATCTCCACTAATGGAAGTGGTGCACAGAATTACAAGGGATGTTACAGCTTTCAGTAGTGTTGCACTGTTGTCACAGCTGTGATGGACAACAGAAAAAAAGCAAGGAACGTGATTTGTTTGATGAAATCTTTTACTGGACCAAGTTTATAGTTGGGAAAGATATTAGACAAGCGGACCTGAGGAAGGGCATTTGGTGCCTGAAAACTTGTCTAACATCTCTCCCAACTATAAAGTTAGTCCAGTAAAAAAAAAAATATCATGAAACAAATCTTGCCTAAAGCTTTCAGACAGTTTACTTAGCAGTATAAGCCATCTTAAGAAAATGCTTCTTAGTAATAATGCACTGATTACAGCTTCAAAGCACTTGGCCAATATTAACTAATGAATCCAAACCAGTAACTAGGGACTATTGTGATTGCTAAAATCTACTCAGTCATTTCTTTGTTAAGAAACATATACTTTATGGGAGATTTTCACACTGATATGCCATAAATTGCTTTTCACTATACAGCAGATATACAGTCACATGTCAGGAGCCTAAAAGCAAACTCTCTGAATTGACACTTACCAGCTGGCATGTGGGTAATTTTCCTCCCCACATAAAGCAATTCTTTATTTGCATATAAACATTACTGAAAATAACCGGCATTTTAACTCTCTTCTAGCAGGCAGCAGGATTATTTAGCCACACTCCCAAACTAAGGTGACTGTGTACCTTTTCTTCCACTGTAATCTTCTTGTTATCCAGCTCTGTTAACCGGAGCAACATGAAAATCACCAAGAGCCAATATTCTGTGCGTTCCTGATAGAAATATGAAAAACGATACACTGGTCTTTTTTTACATCTCCAAACATTTAAGCTGCGCTGCAAAATATTTAACTTCCATTCGGTTACAAAAACATCACATGTATTTTATCTTAATATATGGTAGCCTACAATGCCATTTACCCTGAAGGATCTCAATGTGCTGTATAAACCGATCACTGAAATGCAGCCATCTCTAACATAAAATCTGGCAGCTGATCAACAGCTTGCAGCAACACTGTACAATAGTTTGGAACAGGAATTAAAAAATGATATCATTTCTAACTCTACCTGCAGAGCAAATTAATGAGGACAGAAAGTAGTTACCTATATGGGAATTAGATAACAAACCACACTAATACCCCTAATCTTGCAAGAAGTGTTGTTAAAAAAGTTACAGTATAAAATAATCATTACTGATGCTTTTAAGTGGCTAAAAAAAGGAGAGACATAATAATAAAATTAGCAATCAAACAGGGAGCTGACATCTTGACAACCTGATGAAGCGTACTTGTACGATTTCTAAAAAAAAGCCAAGTCCTCCGGTAAGCTACTGAAATTTCGAGGAGGTCAAAGATGTCTTAAGATAATTGTTGTTTTGGTTTTTTTAAGTATCTGAAAAAACAGTAAAATAGCTAGGAAAAGATCACACGCATATGATCTTTAAGCAAGATCAAATTCTGCTCTGAGGAGGCTGGCTGTCTCGTCAAGCAAAGGTTGCCATGAGCTATAGGGTAAGCATATTACAGGTATTTTTCCCTATTAATTGCATTGCACACAACAACAGACCATTCTTAAGGAAGCCACAATAAAACACTGACATAGTTATCTTGAACCTAGAGAGAGAAATGAAACCCTGACCATTTCTTCCCAACACTGCAAATCACTGTCAAGCTCAAAAGGGATCTGAAAAATCATCAAACTCTGAATGATATTACTTTTAATCTTTGGTACAGCTCAGGACGAGTTGTACACAGTCAAAACATATGATTTTATTCCCCTTTAGATGCTGATGTCATTGATCAATGGGATACTTATTGGGGATATTGCAGGGATCTTGAATAAAGAACAAGTCCATCAGAAAGGAAAAAAACTCAGAGAGCCACTGCCCTAGAAACTATCTGGTTATACTCAAGGCACTGCTCAAAAAATGCCAGGTCTTTGGTTTTACTCTTCCTTTGATGACACAAAAAATAACAGAGCAATTCTTCTGCTGCAAAAAACTAAGAAAGCCCACAACATGTCAGACTGTTTTTGACCCTATGCACTCTTACGTGAAATCTCTGGGGTTTTCTTGCGATTGTACGTAGGTATTAGCGCACAAAACAATGCTAATATTGTGCATCACCATTAAAAGGATCTCATGGCACTCCAAAGCGCTGTGGCACCCTGGCTGACAATCACTTTTCTAAGGGGAGGCAGGTTTAAACGTGGCTGTTGCTAAGAGGTAGAATCAGCTTCCAGTGAAGTTAACAGGAACCTTTCCCCTGACTTCGGTGAGAAAAATGTTTATACAGAGCTTTTCTTTTAGGAGAGCACGTATAACATTTATTCTTTCCATAGCGTTGCTTTAACATCTGGACAAAGACTAAACTAATCATTGCAAATACATTTTTGGCTCCTTGTAGCCTCTCTTACCTGCACTGGGTTGTTTAACAGATTTAAGCCTCTAAGGAGAGGTAGATCTTCAATATATTCAAGCTCACCCAGATCAGCAATCTAGTTATACGGAGATATACAGCATAAGTATAATAGCTATAATAGTACATATAATAAGTACAATAGCTATGAGCAGAAAGCATTTAAGTGCTAAACCTTAAAACAGGGGTACAACCCTGCTTCTCCCCACACCTCCCCCCGATACACTTCCAAAATGTGTACGCATACCCACCACATGTAATATCATACTTCCAGTAATGTAAACTGGGTAATAACCGTTGCAGATAGGGAACGTGCCTCACTAAGTGTATAGTTATTTTAAAAGACACGACTCTCTCCAATGCTTTACTTTGCTCAGTGCATCCAATTTTCACAGGCTGATGTGCAAAAGCCAGGCAACAGCTGTTTGAGAGACTGTGGGTTTGCACAGTAGTAGCCTTAGGGGAGGGCAAACCGGTTGACCGCCCGGGGCCCCACACTTTAGGGGGCCCCAAAATGTTGCAACAATTTTTTTTGGGGGGGGGGGAAGTTTTTGCAAGCAAGTGGCTCTATTTGCATTTTAACACTCGACTATTTATCTAATTCCCCCAAAGAATATTAAAAAGATCCATGATACAACTGTGGTAGGTTATAGATCATCCAAATTAAGCCTCTAAGGGGCCCCACATTGCCCAGGGCTCCAACAACCCTTAGGTCACCACTGGTTTGTAGTCACCTTTTGCACATTTAGAGTTACAAACAAAACATTCCCTTTTTCTAAGAAATGGGTTTCTTTTTATTCAGTGTCCAAAGAGAAGTCTTAGTAGAGGCTCCCAAACCTGCATGCCTGGCTACAGGACTGGACAATTCAAACGAGACTTGTCATCTCTAGCCTTCCCACTACCTCTGAAGAAGAACAAAACAAATTACAGAGTGGCTCTGAATAGCTTCACTGCCAGTGGAAGGTATGGATCCTAGAAAGGAAGATGTCCAATTTTGAAGATTATTCTGTATACATCTTTGTAGACAAGCTCTTTGTGACAAAACTTGTGAAAATCTGCATTTTAAGCAAATTGGCATGGGAGTCATTTAATCTAAATCTCCTTAAACATTCTGTGCGGTTGAAAAATTATGTTTACCTGTTTAGAAAGCGCTACTACTGAAAGAATTAAATGATTTTGTAAAGTCCTGAACTGACACATTTAGCTTCTCTCCTAATACAGAAGTCTAAAACCACATATCATGTGGTTTCAGACCTTTTAAGCTGTTACTGAGGCCAAGGTTTTAAGAAATTGAATTCTGGGGAACAAGGGCTTTCTTTAAAATAATCAATAAAAGCTAGATATGTGCTGTATCTTTGGTCATGGGATTTACTGCTGAAATGATATGTTGGTGTTGGACCAGTATTCATCCAACTGTCATAAATCTCCTTATAATAAGATCTCTTGTCCCACATGACATCATCGTAATTTCTAAAGCACTAGAAGTGCCCAAAATGATACCATCTTAAAAGCTCCTTGATCTTCCACAAGAAAAAAATATCTATGCGAGTTCACCTGGAAATACAAAGATAAGCTTTCATCTTTGCAGCAATCAAGGCTGCTTGTGCTACAGACACACTTGCTTTACCATCTATGTTGCTGTAGTAACATCACTGTGTTTTGATGGTGGCTACATTTAAAAAAAAAATCCTATTTCATATAATAGGATGGTGATCTCTCTTTTATGCTGGAATACTGAGCTTCTGCTAAAAGTCAGATAATTGCTGTTCCTTTTGCATTAATGTTTTTTGCAGAATGAGTCCTCTGGTGCTATGGATGTGGAATTCCAGCGGAGTAGCACTTAAAGGAAAAATGTTCCAATATTGCCGAGATCATAATAAAGGCTCTGCTGTATGATTATAGAGCAAAACTAATGAGAGACAGCTCTTTGAGAGACATGCACTCTTCATTTAATGAAGACAAAGTTCTGCTATTACTCTGAGTTTTTGATGAATAGCAAATTGAGTACATCATCCCAGAATGAGGATCTCTCTGGAGAGAAGAGTATTATTTTATCCACTAAGCACATGCAGTTCATGATGTGGTAACACAAAATTCCCTGCAACTGTCCCACCACGTGTTCTACCTGACTCTGGGTTGAGAGGAGAGATTGGTCTGCAGGACCTCATAAAAAATCCTCCACTTGCCAACAATTTCTTTATATCAGCAGCAGCGAGTGAAACAATAGGCACTTCTGAAGGATCCTGGAGTGCGCTGGTGTTGGGTTGCTACCTGATCGGCCTATAACGCCTTCTTGCAGCCAAAGCGGCAAGTCCAAACTCTGTCTGGTCCCCATCTCGTTGGCTGTTGTTTCTTCCCCTACTTAAAGCCTTTTCTCCGAGTACTTCCTTTATCTTCTCCATATCTTAGCATAGCTTTTAGAGGGAAAATTTCCCAAAATAACTTTCTTACCAGCTGTATCAAGCCAAACCCACACACCTGATATGTTCAATGAACTTCCCCCTTTTTTGCCATACTAGATTCTTCTACCCACTGCTCAAAACACACGGGTGAAGATCACAGATCAATTTGCCTTCTGATATTAATTAACGGGAAACATGATTCCCACTTCCCATCTGTTCAGACAGAAGATGTTCTAAGGGTTTTGAGGACAGTTCTAGACCTTTTCTTTTAACTCTTGAAAATGGGGGAGGATGAAATCCACTGTTGCTGTTCAGGATAAAAAAAAAAATCCTCTTTGCTATAGAGGCTATTGTCATGGAGTCAAAACTGGCAGCGGTGCTGGGATTTTTGGTTGAATAAATTAGCTTTAATATCACTGTTCAAGAAAAATACAAACAGTAAGAACAGAACCACCTAAGAGAGTACTTGAACTTCATAATACACCTTTTTCAAATAGGAGAGAATATCGTTACATTGGTTAAGTCTCAAATTTCCTCAAGTCACCTAGAAAAGGATGTGTTGGAAAGGTGGCAACTCACCCCACAGTTTCTGACATGTACCATTAAACAAGACAAATTTTGATGAGGCAGAATTAATAGCTTCTGCCTGCTATAAAGAGCAATCGAAACTCTATGAAGCAATGGAGGCAGTGTTATTAATGCTAATGAAGACCATTCTATTAGTTAGCTTCCCATCTTGCTAGATTTTAAACATTGATGCACCCTTTAAATGTCGACCTGAACGTGCTGTTATAAAAAAGAATTCATAAGTTATTGTGTTCACTCTTGTGCGCATTTCCTTAAACTGGGGAGAATATTTGAAAATAATGTTATTTTTTATTTGCTATGATTTTTACTACACAGAACTGGCTTTAATGGAAAACTAATTGATCCATTGAGGGCCTCTTCTGAAATTAAAGACCCGGAAAGCTCTCTGATGTGTGGAGTTGCAGAAATAACTTTTTCCGGGTTCAAATGTCATCTGAAACTGGTATAAATGAGTTGCATGGTCTCATCATAGTCTCCAGTGAATATTCTGCTGCATAACAGAAGACACCAGATAACAAAGTACAAAATTCTGTATGACTGGAAGTCTTACAGGGCCCCAGTGAAACTTGTGATGGAAAGATAGGGTTGAGGAATATTGGAATAGCCAAGACAAAAGTAATGGTTGTCGGGTATACTTGGGTGGAAAAAAAGTTCCCTACATTGTGTCATCCCTGGAGCATCCACTCTAAAAAATGCTCTTAGTCTTTCAAAGACAGGAGTACCAAATGTTGTGTAAGAATGATTGACCTAAACAGAAATTAGTCCAAGCACTTAAGTGAGACAGAGAGAGCTGCATCACAGCTCCTGGGACCCACAGAAAAATACTGAATCTCTTCTAATATTTCTTTAGTGTAGGATTGTGGGGATTTGGGGCTGAATCTTCAAGGAGCCGAATTGTAGAAAGGACTGAGGACTTACTAAAAACTCTTTCAGATTCATTTGCAGTACTATACCTGATTATCTTCCAGATTGATCACCTCTAGTAGATAGTGCTCCTCCAAACCTCCAAGGCTGCTGATGTTATTACTGGATAAATCCAAATGCTGGAGAGCTCTCAGTTCCTCCAAACCAGTTATCTTCTCAATCTGGTTAGCTCTCTAGGAATGAATCCGAATCAGATAAAGACCTCATAAGTTTTCATGGGTGAAAAATGAAGTATTCCAGGGGAACAACATCCTTGCCTCTGAAGGGATAATTTCTGTGGTCGCTTATAAGACTATTATGAAACTTATCAGATAAGGACAGATCATTTTTCTCTCTCAGGTCTTCTATGTATTAGGCTCCCCCCAGACATCACTTTTGTAGTGAAAGAAAAAAAATACCCAAAACACTACGGGCAGCTAGGGGTTCAAAGGTGCCAATAAAGAGGGGGCAACTGGGGGCTGTTCCCTAGCTCTTTCCGGCCCCCAAGCAACTTTAAAGGGCTGGACAGGCCCACCAAGAGACTTGCAAGCCCTTTAAAGTTCCCAGGCAGCCCAAGAGCTCGCTGAAGCTAGTGTCAGGTTGCCCAGAAGCCCGTTGAAATTTCTGGCTTGCAGGCAGCACAGTCGCCCTTGCTGCCAGGCATCATGGGCAATGGAGCTCCCTCTAAGCCTCCTGGTGTGGCAGGGGCTGCCTGAGAGGTCTTCATCCCTTCACCCCCTGCCACTGCCACTTCCACAGAGGCAAGGGTAAATGGGCTTCCCTGCAAACAATAGTTTCATAGTTGTTAGGGGCTGGAAGGGACCTTACAGATCATTGGGTCCAGTCCCCTTGCACTTGGGCAGGAAAGACTCAGATGATTGCAGGAGCTTTAAAGGATGTGCAAGCCACCCAGCACCAGAGAGCCGCTTCCCAGTGCCAGATGGCTCAGATGCCCAGGTGAACTTAGGTTTCCCCACCTGGGCGACCCCTGCACTGGCAGGGGGGCAAGAGGAACAGGGCAGTCTATAAACCTCCTTGACTGCTCACAGTGAGCAGGCTGTCAGGGATTCAGCTGCTCTTCCTTTCTTCCTCTCTGCCCCCGCACTTGATGGGGAGGAAGGGAGAGCACAGCACTGTGGGATGGTGGAAGGTACAGACCTGGCCAGATGTTAGATTTGTCTAAATGAGCAATTTCTTTGTTGTGGATCTGCTATTTTTGTGGCGGATTGGTCACTTTTTTCTAGGGACAAATCTCTTGAATGTCTGGCATGTTACCATTTGCCGCAGGAAATCTGCATCTATCCCACAACCAAGGTAACATCTGGAAGGGGCCTGAGCCTCATCTGCATCAGGAGATGCCAGATTACAACTCCTCTTTTTTGGCTGAGGGAGAAACAAATGGGATTATCTCATTCGGTTTAACTTTGGTGCATTTTAAGGAAATCACACAAGTGCTGACGTACGCTAATAACAAACAGGACCATGATCTTTTTTTCTGCAATCCCGCAGCCATGAAATGAGTTATAGAAATGTCTCTTTCTGAAGGAGAAGTATATGTCAAAAAACAAAGTTTTCACCAAAAAAAGTTTGTCCTACATATAAAGTACGTGCCAAAATGCTGCTCAAAAGTGTGTTTATGGAGTACCTGGGGGTGCAGAAGAAATGCTTCAAGGACATCCTTAAGGCAAAAATTAAGAAGTGTGGCATTGACCCCACAAATTGGGAAAACTAGCCCAAGACAGGGCTACATGACGACACCTTGTGAGACAAGGTACATTTTACTTCAAGGAAAACCGTTTCAAGCTGGTGGCAGAAAACCAACAGAAATGGAAGGAAAGGAAACAAGACCGAGAAATCCATGGCCCGACCCTCCGTTTTACCACCACCTGTGGCGTTTGCCAGAGAGTTGGCGGCTCTAGGACTGGCCTTCTTAGCCATCACTGGACTCATTTACACCCCTATATTTGACCCGTGAGAGTAATCATCCGTGACTGTGATGGATAGCCACTGACACCAAATGTAAGCCAATACAGTGTTATCTCCCTCTTTCTGCAGACAATCTGTAGCAATAGGTTGCGTCTATATATTCACTTCATCACAGGGAGTGAAGGAAACCTCAATTACCCAAAGTAATATCTAACTGCATGCTTACAAGGACCCCCATGACAAATTTTGTGATATACCACACAAGCCCAGTCATTTCTTCAGAAGTAGAATCATAGGACCATAGAAATGAAGATTGAAGGGACCTCGGGAGGTCGCATCTAGTCCAACCCCCTGCTCCAAGTGGGACCAGCCCCACCTACATCATCCCAGCCAGGGCTTTGTCCAGCCGTGTTTTGAAAACCCCCAAGGATGGAGACTCCAGCACCTCTCTGGGTCACCTGTTCAGTGCTTCACCACCCTCCTAGTGAGAAAATTCTTCCAAATATCCAACCTCAACTTCCCTTGCTGCAACTTGAGCTCATTGCTCCTTGTTCTGTCATCTGCCACCACAGAGAATAGCCTAGCTCAGGGGTGGAAAAAACGCCACCCAACGGCCAGGAGGCGCCCCGCCAAGCCATTCTATTCGGCCCGTGGGGGCCCTAAAACATTTAGAAAATTAATATTTATCTGCCCCGGGCTGCCTGTCATGCAGCCCTCAATGGCTTGCCAAAACTCAGTAAGCGGCCCTCCGCCCGAAATAATTGCCTGTCCCTGGCCTTGCTCCACATCCTCTTTCAAACCCCACTTCAGGCTGCTATTAAGTCTCCTCTTCTCTGGACTAAATAAACCCAGTTCCCCCAGTCTTTCCTCACCAGTCATGTCCCCCAGCCCCTGAACCATTTTTGTCACCCTCCGCTGGACTCTCTCCACTTTGTCCACATCCTTTCTGTAGTGTGTTCAGTTTTGGGCCCCCCACGACTCCAGATGTGGCCTCACCAGTGCAGAATAGAGAAGAATCACTCCTTTTGTCCTACTGGCAACGCTCCTACCAATGCAGCCCTGGATGCTGTTAGCCTTCTTGGCAACAAGGGCACACTGCTGGCTCCTGTTCAGCTTCTTGTCCAGTGTCACCCCTGGGTCCTTTTCTGCAGAGCTGCTGCCCAGCCAGTCACCCCCAGCCTGCACCATTGCTCTGTCCTAAGTGCAGGACTTTGCACTTGTCCTTGTTGAACCTCATGGCATTTCTTTTGGCCCAATCCTCCAACTTGTGAAGGTTTCTCTGAATCCTACCTCTACCCTCCAGGAGTATCTATCTACTACTCCCCCCAGCTTGATGTCATCTGCAGATTTGCTGAGGGTGCACCAGATGGGAAGGTCCATGTTCTTGACTGGGTTACTGGTAGCCACAAATCATACAGCCATCCCTGCTACAAACTCCTAGCATGTATAAAACCTGTTGGATTCTTTGTTGCTCTTGGGGTCCAGTGACTTACCCACATGGGCTCTCAACCTTGCAAGCTGCATCTCTCTTCCATCAGAGTCACTTTATGCTGAAAGCTATTTGGCAGCTTCATATTCTATTAATAAATATTTAGGAACTAGAGAAATAAATAAGTTAGGTGGCTGTAATGTTGATCCAGTTGTCTGTCCTTGACATTTTTCCTGGCTTTTAAATCTTTAATTAGGCTATTAATAGCAAGAAGAAGCTCTCTCTCCCTTTCCTGTTCTTTACCAGACTTGTGCTCTATAAGAGCTAAGAGCTGCAGTTGCAAATTGCAATGTGCAAGGGATACGCACACAATTCGGTGAACAAAATGGATGCATGTGAGGAGCCTCTTTTGGAAAATATAAAATTCCTAGGAGTCCAGTCCATTACAGCTGCATTCATTTATATTTTGCAAACACCAGCAGAACATAGGGTTTTTGGTTTAGCTAGGCAGTATTTACAATTTCTGAAGACCCTTCTTCCAAATTTGAGACCTTTCTATTCTCCACCCTAAGGAGCTCAAGGGGGAATGAAAAAGCAAGCTGAATCAACAGAAAAAAACCCTTTCCTGTCATGCACAATCTATTTGCTCTTTAATCTAATTTGTAAAAGAAAACACTATATTAATATTTCACTATTTGCATTACTTTATACGATTATCAGCTTGCTGATTAAAGAAAAAGGACAAACCATTGTATCAGCAATAAGAGAAGCATGTACAATCTAAAAATAAGAAGCACATTCATACTAATAATGTTTAGCAATTATATAGCACCTCTCATCTTCAAAGCATTTTATAACAGAGCTCAATCAGAGTAAATGTTATTAGCCCATTTCACAGATGGGAAAACTGAGACAAAGAGCAATTAAGTAAATTGCTCTGTTTCAGTTCAAAGAAAGAATATCTATGCTCCATTTTAAAAGAACAATATAAAGAGAAATTATCTGCTTCAGGAAGTTTATAATTCATTTCTGATTTTTACACAGGATTTTTCCAATCTAATTTAATCACTGCCATTTCCATTAGCAACCAGAGTTCCAAACTGACTGGTACTGAAGGAGTAACAAATAATCTTGTCTGTAATAAGAGATCACTTGCTACTTTTTCCGCTTTTAAAAATTAACTCATTTCAGTGACTATTAAAATGAGGTAATTAGTAGATTAAAGAAGGGCAAGTAACTGGGACTTTATGTGTATAGAATATAATTATTCCTTTCTACATGCTAGCACAATTTTGTACTGCATCTCAGAAAAATCTTAAAACATTTTAGGGACAGAAAAAAGTTATATTTCTGCTCTTCACTAAATAAAGAACTTGCTTTAAATGAAACACTGATATAGATGCTCAAATGTATTTGCTATTAGTGTGGAGAAATTGATGTAGGAACATAGTGTTTGGGGGTTGAAGCTCTTAGATGTCAGATACGTATCTTTTTATGATCATAATTACAAAGAAAATTAGAGAGAGACAGATTAATGTGTTTTGTGCTTTTATAACAATTCAAAAAAAGCACACCTGCCGCCCAAAGCTCACATTTAAAGACATTCTTTTTTTGCATTTCTACAGTTACTACTACTGAGCACTTAGAAGCACTTTTCATTTAAGTGTCTCAAAGTGCCTTAGAATGAGGACGTGGACTAAAGGACAGGGAGGAAAAAAAGAGGGGTTTTGGGGGGGCAGGGAGGGTAGAGAAAATGGAGGGGGCTTTTGCATGATCATGACGGATAAAAGGAGATGGCAATGGGCACAGGAGTGCATGGTTGCATTTATTGTAATGGGATGATGATGATGGTAAACCGTACTTGTGTCTGTCAAGTGAGCTGGATCAGTAAAGGTCTGGATATAACAAGGGAGGGTGTGGGTGTGTGTAAATAAATACATATTTTTGCAAAAAAAAGTTTGTCCTACATATAATGTGCATGCCAAAATGCTGCTCAAAAGTGTGTTTATGGAGTACGTGGGCTAAAACTGGCAGCAGTTAAAGAAAAAAAATAAAAGGTAATATGCATCAATTTTGGATGAACTAAATGCATGGGGACCATATGCAAATTGCTATAGCCATGTTTATTTTCAAGGTTACCATTTTCAAATTTGTTCCTCACCCCTCTGCACCATGCTGGCAGACTCCATCACTGCTGCAGCCTGGGGCAGAGAGCATGGCTCCAGCCTGGCCCCTGGCAGCAGCAGGGACACAGCCTGACAGCACAGAAAAAGCTGGGGGGAAGCAGAAAGGAAGAGGGCTACCTGACCACCCCCAGATTTATTTTCCCTGCTGTAGCAGTGGAAAAGGGACAAATTTAAAGCAAACCTCCAATAATTAGATTCTATACCTGGAAAATTATAACAAATTCATAAAATTTCCACAGAGAATCTGCCGGAGGTGGTTCAAGCACCTACTTTGAACGCCTTCAAGAGACATTTGGATGTTTATCTTGCTGGGATCCTATGATCCCTGCTGACTTCCTGCCCCTGGGGCAGGGGGCTGGACTCGAAGATCTTCTGAGGTCCCTTCCAGCCCTGATGTCTATGAAATCTATGAAATCTGTAATTACCATATTTACCTGAGTACAAAATGCCCCTGAATGTAAGATGACTCTTCAATAATTAGATTCTGCACATGGAAAATATATACATTTATTATAATTTTCCATGTATGGAATCGAATTACTGGAAGATCATCTTAAGAAGAAGTAAGCAGCAGCATCCTGCAGGGGTCGGTCCTCGGTCCAGTACTTTTTAACATCTTTATTAAGTATTTGGATGTGTGGGTAAAGAGCTCACTGGCCAAGTTCGTAGACGAGACCAAGTTATGGGGGAGTGTGGTCATGATTGAAGATAGGCTATAGATACTGGCGGACCTAGACAGGCTGGCAAGTTGGGCGGAGTGGAACCAGATGAAGTTCAACATCGAGAAATGTAAAGTGCTCCACCTGGGGATGAACAACCCCCAACACACCTACAGGCTTGGCATGGTCAACCTGACCAGCACCATGAATGAAAGGGACCTGGGAGTAATAATAGACCACACTATGACTATGAGCTGGCAGTGCGATGCTGTAGCCAGTACAGCAAATAATACTGTAGGCATCAATCGATGCATGAGTACGTGGGCTAAAACTGGCAGCAGTTAAAGAAAAAAAATAAAAGGTAATATGCATCAATTTTGGATGAACTAAATGCATGGGGACCATATGCAAATTGCTATAGCCATGTTTATTTTCAAGGTTACCATTTTCAAATTTGTTCCTCACCCCTCTGCACCATGCTGGCAGACTCCATCACTGCTGCAGCCTGGGGCAGAGAGCATGGCTCCAGCCTGGCCCCTGGCAGCAGCAGGGACACAGCCTGACAGCACAGAAAAAGCTGGGGGGAAGCAGAAAGGAAGAGGGCTACCTGACCACCCCCAGATTTATTTTCCCTGCTGTAGCAGTGGAAAAGGGACAAATTTAAAGCAAACCTCCAATAATTAGATTCTATACCTGGAAAATTATAACAAATTCATAAAATTTCCACAGAGAATCTGCCGGAGGTGGTTCAAGCACCTACTTTGAACGCCTTCAAGAGACATTTGGATGTTTATCTTGCTGGGATCCTATGATCCCTGCTGACTTCCTGCCCCTGGGGCAGGGGGCTGGACTCGAAGATCTTCTGAGGTCCCTTCCAGCCCTGATGTCTATGAAATCTATGAAATCTGTAATTACCATATTTACCTGAGTACAAAATGCCCCTGAATGTAAGATGACTCTTCAATAATTAGATTCTGCACATGGAAAATATATACATTTATTATAATTTTCCATGTATGGAATCGAATTACTGGAAGATCATCTTAAGAAGAAGTAAGCAGCAGCATCCTGCAGGGGTCGGTCCTCGGTCCAGTACTTTTTAACATCTTTATTAAGTATTTGGATGTGTGGGTAAAGAGCTCACTGGCCAAGTTCGTAGACGAGACCAAGTTATGGGGGAGTGTGGTCATGATTGAAGATAGGCTATAGATACTGGCGGACCTAGACAGGCTGGCAAGTTGGGCGGAGTGGAACCAGATGAAGTTCAACATCGAGAAATGTAAAGTGCTCCACCTGGGGATGAACAACCCCCAACACACCTACAGGCTTGGCATGGTCAACCTGACCAGCACCATGAATGAAAGGGACCTGGGAGTAATAATAGACCACACTATGACTATGAGCTGGCAGTGCGATGCTGTAGCCAGTACAGCAAATAATACTGTAGGCATCAATCGATGCATCTCCAGCAAAACCAAGGAGGTAATTCTTCTGCTCTGCTCAGCACTGGTGAGACCACAGCTGGAGTACTGCGTCCAGTTCTGGGCACTGCACTTTCTCAAGCTTGTCCACGTTTTTGTTAGAGTCCGGAGAAGAGCCACCTGTATGACCAGAGTCTTGCACGGCAAGCCATACGAGGAAAGGCTGAGCGATCTGGGACTCTTCAGCCTGAGGAAAAGAAGGCTGAGAGGGGGCCTGGTAGCAGCTTACCGCTACACTAGGGGAGTACATCAAGGGCTCGGTGAGCAATTGTTCACCAAGGCATCCCAGGGGAAAACCAGGAGGAATGGCCACAAACTCCTCGAAGACTGATTCAGGCTCAACATTAGGAAGAACTTCACAGTTAGTGTCCAGACTGCGGAATAAGCTCCCTCCAGAGGTGGTCCAATCGCCTACCCTGGAGATCTTCAAGAGGAGACTGTACAGTCACCTTGCTGGGGTCACCTGACCCCAGTTGTTTTTTCTGCTTGGTGCAGGGGGCTGGACCCGATGATCTTCCAAGGTCCCTTCCAGCCCTTACAATCTATGAAAATCATCATGGTTGGGGGAGAGGTGATGAGGGGGCAGTAATGGGGCAGGTGGTGGTGGACAGACTGTGGGGGAGGCAATCGTGGGAGCCACATGTAGGCCAGGTAGGGGGAGCAGTAATGGAACAGGCAGTGGGGGATAGTGGAAGGGGGCAGGCCCTCTGCTGCCTGTCCTCCTCTATTTACCTGCCTCCCCACCCCCACATTGTGCCTTCCCCCTCCTCCCCTGCAGCCTCAGGCTGGCCTGATTCACCCTTCCCCTGTTCCCCGCTCCTTCCCCTTCCATGCTGCTTCTGCCACCCACAGCTTCAGGTGCCCACTCTGCCTTCCTCTCATCTTCCCCCTCACCAAAGGTGTTTCCTCACTGCCTGCCCCTCCAGGACCCCCATTTACCTTTTCTCCACACCACCAAGCTCCATCCCTGCTGCAGCCTGGGGCACAGAGCATAGGTCTAGCCTGGCCCCACAGCAGAGGCATGGAGCCAGTGCTGCTGCTACAGGGCTGGGCTGGATCCATATTCCATGCCCCAGACTGTAGCAGGGCCAGCACAGAGCAAAGGTAAGGAGGTAGGCAGTAGAGGGGGAACCAAAGGGAGAAGTGGCTTGGTGGGAAAGACTGGAGGCTGCAGGGGAGGAGTAGCAGGGCATACAGAGGCAGCAGGGGAGGGCAGGCACCTGCTGCAGCTCTGGCTCCAGCTTCAGCCCCAACCTTGGGCTGGGGTCGGAGCCACAGCAGCTTTCTGCCCTTTCCTCCCACTGCCTTGTGCTCAATTGTAAGATGAGGGGGGCTTTCCCCCCTGTGTTATACGGGAGATAACCTCATCTTCTAATCAAGTAAATACGGTATTGGGGGTTGACTTATAATCAGGGTCCTCTTCTATTCAACTAAATACAGTATACAATATTTTAAAAAACAAAGCTAGGCAAACTATAGCCAAAACAGTCAAAAGATATTTTGTCATCAGTCTAGTAGTCATTATAGTTAAATAAATCTCTTATTCAAATGCATAAAACAAAATCTAGCTGTCTTGAGCATCTTGAAAGTGCTCCAACACTTTGTTCTCAGTTATTTCTACACCTGAGTTAACAATACCACATCTGAGTTCAGGTTTTTAGCTAGAGCTAAAAACAGCCTGCACGGCTATGAAACAGGAGAGAGATAGACATTGCTAGGAATGGTTAACAGACAGCAAACTTGCAGGACATAGGATAGTTTGAAGAGTGGAATATCAGAGACCATTGAAAAGGACAGAGGGTCATTAACACCTGTGGAGTGGAAAGAGATTAGCAGGAATCAGGGAAATGATAATAAGACATGATGTCAACCGACTCTTTTAGCACTGCCTCCATAGATGCCACTGCCTGTCTCAGGCAGTTGGTTTAAAGTTTGGGTGGACGAAGAATCAAAGCAGAATGCAAATGCACCACTGCACCCCCCCCTTAACCCACAGGATCTGATGAAGCAAACAGCATGGTACAAAATAAAAAGAATAATCAAATTTCTTTGGGGCCACGCTGTATTAAACAGATCTGGGGAACCTGAATTTTTAGCAAATGATGCATTTCTTAAGAAAACTGGTCTGGACCAGTTGAAAAAAGAAGGCCTTCAAAAAAAAAAGTTAATACTTACCAAGCAGAGTGTTTTGATAGGTAAGTTTTTAAGACCATTGATTGTAGTGATCCTGTTGTGTGCCAAGCTAAGATGAATCAAGCTTCGGCATTTCTCTAGCCCTTTGATCTCCTCTATGTTATTATCTATGCATCAGTGTTGCACTTAAGGAAAATAATGACATTACAAAAATACTTTGCATTTCTTAGTAGCAAATGTAGCCAATATCTCCCCTCCTACACCCTAGGCCATTTTACTTATGCCCTGCCCTCCCCTTCCCTCCCACCCCAAAATATATTTGTTTTAACCACCTGTTACTTCTTGTCTTAAACTAAGGCTCTGCACCTCTGATTGCATGTATGTGAGCAAAACTGCTTAAGGGAAGCCCCACTAACATCATATCAAGTACAGGATTGGAAACAAAACTGTAAGTTCCTTGAGACAGGGGCCACCTTTTGTCCTATATGATTTACAGCACCTTGAGCAATAAGGCCCCAACCTGGCTGAGGCCTCAAAATGTTACTGCATAAAGCATGCAAATAAATAATAACTGTGGACACAACCCATATCTTATTTAGAGTTCCACATTTGTACTTGCCTCGAAATAATTCTAGCAGTTTCAGTGCCGACTTTGCGTCAGAGTGAGGGTAGCTGCGTCATGTTAATTTACAACAATATAAAATCCGAACTAACCAGATTGTATAAAACTGAACTGAATCAGACGCATTAAAATGTGAGAATATAAATAAGAAATCATTTCAAAATACTTTGAAGTAGAATAAGCAGGATGCAGAAAATACCTTTTATCAATCACAGAAGCAACAAGATTTCATTTTAATTTATGGGAAAGAATGAAAACTCCAGCTCAAAAACTGATACAATCAAGTTTTCTTGTACAACCAAACACATTTCAAGTCTTAGCTGCCCGTGGACAGCTGATCACTATTTCTTCCCCAGCTTGATTCACACTATACATTTGAATCTAATCCAAGTAGGATGCTGCACTTTAATAAAGGGAAATACAGTTCTGAGCCTGTCTTTGCCCAACTGAATGGTAACGTGGTTTGGCCCTGGTAGCACGGACAGGACCAAACTGTGTCACACCATAGTCCCAAAGGCACACTTTAACCTAGACGGGCACCTACAATAGTGGAAAAGATCTATCTTTTCCATAGGGCTTATTCTAGGCAGTTTCAAGTATCCAGGAAAAAAAATGCACTCAGCCTACAAGTTTGACAGTCGCACGTTGACATGCGCATAAAATTGATCTCATCTTCCTTCTATTTAAGTCTGTGGCAAAATTTCTGCGGGCAAAGGTTTAGATCCAACATAGCCAATACTGGTCAACCATAAATTGCTATAATATGCAAATACCAATTTATTTGGTTCCAAGGCATTCCTAGGAAAAAAGTGATAGGCAAAAGGCATCACTAAGATGCAGCAAATTGAACAGACCTATCAACCAATTTTACAGTTTCAACCACCTATTATAACTGCTTTGTCTGGTATTATTGCCCAAGTAAACTGTATCCATTTCTGTTTTAGGCAATTTCCTCCGTGGAGATTAATTTATAATCCTGTCAGGTGTGTTTGTGTGTGCAACTGTCAGGAAAACTTGTAATGACCTTACCATCTGCATCGCAGCTCACCGAAATATGGTAGGAGATGCTTAGTTACTGTCTGCTAAGAAACGCTTGCCAGACATTTTCACCATTGTAAGATATTTAAGATTGTTGTTTCATTTGTGATTACAAAGAACAGCTTGTTTTGGCTGCCATGTCTTTTGCACGTATTGCTTGACACGGGTTAGGAACGGTGCCACGTTGTATTCTAAATTCTGCACTCATCTCTCTGAAATTCAAAGGGCCCTAGTGCAATCATATGCATGTCACAGTTGTTCTTCCCATACGACTGGCAACAATACAAATGAAGCAAGCGGAGATACTGAATGCCTGCATTAACACCAAATGAAAAATCCTTATTCCTATTCAGATGGGTAAAAATAAACTTTGACCCTTCTATTTTATTCCATTTTGTCACATTATTTTTGCTTTTGCTATGGGAAATTAGAATTGCAAAGGGACTGAATCCCAGTGCCATTCTCTAACAAGAATCACCGTGCCTGTACAGCTTGTAACGTGTGAATAATGTAACCTGAACAACTTGTGAATCAGTTAGCTGCCCTTATGTAAAAAAAAAAAAAAAAAAAATATGCTTCAATAATGGCCTTACTTTAAGCATGGAAGAGAGAGAACTGAACAAAAACAGTCAGCTTCCTCTCTTATGGAACAAAGAATTGGGATGTAATTTATACGGCTGGGAAAGGAGTTATAAGCAACTATAAGCAAGGCAGCATATCCACCCGAGAACGCAGAAAACCACATAGAGGATTAACTTAGACAAATGTGGAAGAGAAGTTATCAAAAATAAAGGCCAGTTTGCACAGCAAATACTTCAGAAAAGCAAGAAACGGAGGAAATTAAATCAATCGGGACTTCCTTTTCAGATCCTCTGCCAGACTGGTGTTCCACCAACTGGGGAACACACGCATAGATTGAAAGGTGTTTTTGCAAACAGTCTGCATCACTACCACATAAGGGAGGACCCTGCTTACTGTCATTTATTGATCTGGACTTCTACAGATTCTCTGGGAGCTCAGTAAAAAAAAAAAAATCAGTCTAGTTACTTTCAAAGTTATTTGGCAACAGGTATCACTCCATACAAAGCAGCTCACTGTTGCCAAGATGACCACCCTAATCTTACACACTCACTTTAACCCCAGCCTTTGTACACGCCACATTTTTTGCTCTCTCTCGCGCTGAAACTGCATGACTGTTTGCACAAGTGGGATTTCCGGACGCTTTAAAAGTCTTTCTGATGCATTAAAGTAAATATCCTCAGACGTAGTTTAGTTTGGCTTACCAGGAATTAAAGTGTCACGTCCATAGATTCATTGCGTGCAAACACAAAGGCATTCAAAGATGTGTAATGAGCCTCTTTGTCCACCAGGTGGCTGCGACTTTGTTGTAGTTCACCCCTTCGAATTGCTTCTGCTTTTGAATTGCTTCCTTTTTTTCCCCTGGTGCAGTTTGCCAGCTCCCTGCAGCATGGGGTCGGGTGTTCCGGGCCACGGGGCAGTGCTGGACCATCCCGTTCTCCTGCGGCGCCAGCCAGAGACTGGGCTTAATTCATTCGAAAACCTAGCGAGTGCAAACACTGACGCGACGCTCCAAAATAAAGAAGTTTAAATGTTATAAACCTATTTAATTTAATGAGTATTAAAACTCATGGTGCACAGGTGCCTGTGGATGCTAGATGCAGAAACTTTCTGCCTATTAATACATAACACTAGAGTAGGGGTCAGCAACCCGAGGCCCACAGGCTGGATTGGCCATGCTGTACAATGCCAGAGTCAGGTGCTGTGTGTTTTAGTGGAAGAGGAGCTCTCCTTGGGGCGTATCACAGTCGGGTACCACGGAGAAGCAGTGGAAGCAGCCGGGTGCTAGTACCTACTCATCCATAGCCCCAGTGTTACTTTGCTGGAAAACACTGCCAACGCCTGCACTAGATTCATTCTAATAAAGTGTGTAGCTGAAGGAAAACATGATTATGGAGTCAAGGGAGTTCAAAGTAAACTCAGTGCTTCATACCCGGATACCGCAGTGAGAAACATACGTTTGTTTATCATCTTTGCCACATCTAGGGAGAATGACTCATGGTTCTCTTACTTTTCAGGATGCAAAGGGGTTTTTCTTTTTGTTTTCCCATGGCATGCCTACTGTACTCAATCTTTATAAACACCCTCGCTGCACACCTTTCCTTTCCATTAAGATATTGATGCTTAGTAAATTAAAAGTAATTTCACCAGTAGATTAGATGCTATTTTTGCTTTCATTTTTCAGAGAAAATCATCCTGTTAAGTGAAGCTGTAAAACAAAGGCAGAATAAACAGCGGTTAAAAAAAAAAATCCCGTTCCTGTTCTAATTTCCAAAAAGGATACGGTCTAGTATGAGTCTGGTAAGTGACTGGTATGCAGACAAATCTCGCATTGCAGATATTTGGTTGTATGAAAAATCTACCTCCTAAAGAGAAAAAGGACACACACAAATTTGCTTTCTTTCTCCAGGCCTTTGAGTTGCCTCATAACGCTGATGGAGGGGTGTGGAAGAAGCAAGAGGATCATTAATATTAAAGTTTGACAAGACCTCATTTGTATGAGCTGCATAATACACATTTCGAGAACTTTCAAAAACAAATGTGCCTTTCTCTTACAAACATTTTTATTAAGGGCCCTGGCAATTTTCCCATTAAGATTAGAGAACTGGTAGAGAAAGCATAGAAATAATTGTAGTATTTCAAAACACTCCAGATTTTTAAAACCATACTGGACTCCATCAAAACAATAGCAGAAAAGGAAGAGCAGCATATGGTTATACTTCACATACATGTTTCTCATTAGTCACTGGCAGCAGTCAATCTGAAAAGTGGGAATTGATTCCATGAAAGATCGGATTGATTCATTTGGCAGAATGTTAACCATGTACCTGGAGTCCACCGTATAAACTGCTATCCCTGTGGCAGTTAAGAGTCACTATTTTAAACAAAACAAAAGAGATACAAATAGAGTTTGATTTTCCCAGATATTTTATGTTTAAAAAAAAATGCCAACTAAAGGAAGATGGAGGGGTAGGGAGACAAAAGGCTTGATCTCATGGTCTGCCCAAATACCAAATCGAGACCATATATAGGTCCTTGAATTTAAATCTAGCAAATCTGTTTTACCTTGAGACTCTTAGGCGGTTTGAAATTGAAGTATGTAGTCAGCTCATTATTGGAAGCATCAAGTTCCAGTAAGTAAGGCATGTGACTGACACAAGACAGATCTAGTTAACAAAGGGAAACACGAAATTAAGTAAAAGGATGCAGAGGGGAATACAAAGATGATGGGTGTTATGATTTAATATGATAATTATACCCATTAGCAACCAAAAATCAATTTTAGATCAGATAATTTATAGAGCAAGGCTTGGCCTGCAGTAATTAAGTGTGTTAGCATCTTTTACTCCACAAAGGAGAGTTTGTTAACAATGAAAGACAGAGATGAACACCAATTCCTATATCAGTTTTCCATTATTAAAAAAAATAAAGTTTTACCATGTTTAACTTTATGACCTAGAAGCAAGTGAGCTTTTCAACACCGTTTTAGTGACTTTAGGAAAATGAGACTGATGAAAATGAGACTTCTGAGAATTTTAGATCAGCCAGAAATCTATCTTCCACGCAGTGACATTTGAGCCAATGCAAGTTATAAAATGGCAGCAAGAGGAATTTTTCCTCCTCAAAACTTAGTAATTACTTGGCAATATTAGTTATCTCGTGAAAGCCGTGTTTCAAAGAGAGATTATTCCCCTGGAGTAAAGGCCCGGATCAGTTCAGGCATTATTTGGTCTGCAAGTTGGAAACAACAGAATTGGCACAAGGTAGTGTAACACAGAGATGCCCTGATATTCAGCATCCAAAGCAGAGAGAAAGTACTAGATCAGAGGAGGAAGTGACAGAGCAGGTGACTGCCACAGCCTTATTCCTTATGATGCTGATTACAGTAGATTAAAAAATTAGTTTGGCAGGTCTCAGCCCAGTCCCCAAATGTGCTCATCAGAAAAGCAGCATCCAATTTAATATATTTCATCTCTTGCTAGGAGGTCTTTGCTGAAGAAAAGCCCAGAAGCAGAACACCTCTAACCAGACTGATCTTTCAATATTCTGACACTTGCATGTGTAGAATCTCAGCCTTCCCCTTACACTAATATGGCTGTTTGCCTTTTACTTTTGCATAATAACCCAGAAACTAATATTTACATCTTATTGCCTAGCATATGCTGCCACAGCTGTATGAACAGTGTCAGTACATCATTCTCAAGGAGATCCAACCGTAGCATTAGCATATAGAATTGGATTAGTCATGCCATTAAAACCTAGGCCAAGTTTTGGAATATTAAAGCTACATGGTACGCTGCATTTTTCATCTTAAATGATTTCATAACCCAAGAGTTTACTAGAATACCTACTACATACCATTAATTTTATTGTATGAAAGTTCCAACTTCTCTAAGTGAACATATTTGGAGAGAATGTTAATGTCGCTTAAATTACGGCCCTGGAAAAATAAAAGTAAAGAAGATTTAATAACTAGTTGTGTAACCTCACCCTGGTCTCCCAGGAGAGGAACCAGTGATGAAGTGCCCACAGCTCCCTTAAGGTGTACACTGGCTTTGAGCTCACCTGAATAAGACCATTAAAAAAAAAGAGTATTTCATTTGCCCCAGATGAGTCGTGAATAAGAAAAAGTGTCAAAGTAGAAATAAAAATTGCAGTCATGAGAGCCACAGCTAAGGGAAATGCTACAAACTCAAGGCTGCACTTAAAGGAAGAATCTGTGCTGAGTCATCTTAAACTGGGATTGAAATGGCTAATTCCCTGGGGGGGGGGCAGCAATTATCTCCTACCAAAGTGGTTCAAATGCTGCATGCCAAGGGGATCATCATCCCCTCCCTCGCACTCTGGTCAAACCCAGCCCAACAGGTGTAGGCAATTGAACTGAAGAAATCTCTGGCTCCCAGAGCTATAGAAGGGGAAGTAAAGAGAAACTAGTACCAAGACAGCAAGTTTCCAGCAAGAATCAAGTCACAGCTTCCAAAACTCCCAAAATAGATACACAAAGATGACAACTATAGCAGGCAAAGAGACTGATCACAGGATCAGACAACATTCTGCCAACCAAGCCATAGTTTTGATCCAGCCTCCCTGCACTTGGGCAGGAAAGACTGCTGAGATCAGCAAGATGGGAGTCAAGACGCCATCTTCTCTTATAGTGCAAAGCTTGTGGGCACAGATACGCAACCCAGCAATGGCTATACAGGAAAAGCGGTCGTCCTTTAGTTATACTCACCGAAAGCGACAGGTTAAGGTAAACGTATTCGGTGCCAAGCGCTGAACGCCCCAGCTTGTACAGGGCTTCAGCTATGATATCGTCATTCAGCACCCCATCAAAATGCTCCTGCAAAATGCCAAAAGGACAGACACAGAGATCTTGTTAGGAAGGACTTAGGGACCAAACTGTGCACTCCGCAATCCTGCTACAGTCACTGGGGTGGCACAGGATGCAAGTGACAACTGATGGCAAAGGCCCTCAGATAAGCACAGGTTTCATTACAAGCATCATGACCCTCTTACAGCACGAACAGACACACACCTGGGAGGGAGGGGGTGTGGATGTGGATACAGCTTGGGCACTAAAAATGAGCAGTTAATATATATTATTTCCAGAAGAGACAGAGCCTCAAACTTTTTCAAGAAAAGGGCCATAAATGCTTTTGTTCGTTGCGTTATAGCAGTCCCACTTTAAAAAGGGCTTTGTTGCAATGCAGGAAGCTCTCCTTGACTGTGGATACTTCCCATCTCAGCAAACCAGCAATAAAGCATCTCAAGCAGCCTACTCAGAGTTAATATAGTCAGAAATTCAGTGGTCTTTTATGAAGTTTTAACCTAACTGGCACTCCTCTGCACAAAACAGTCAGTCCAAAAGGGGCAGGTGACACTCATGCACCAGTGCATAGGTTTAATGGGAAAATGAGCCAATGGTTTGTGAAATGCCTGCGAACTGGAAGAAATAACACAGCGGTGTCTAATCTAGACACTAAGATGAGTACCGTCTCTCGAATAGGAATAATCTAAAATAAATTGTGGCATCTTGATACTAGTCAGATGCTGCAGATATATAAAAAACCCAAGGGGGTGATGCCAGGGCTACGGATATATCAGAGAGCCACAAAGGAGTGGAAAGAAAGCCACTGGCTTCCCTGGAGAGCAGGATGTGTCAGAGTTGGTGCATGGACGGCCAACACCTGCCCCGTGTAGCTGATGTCCCTGTCCAGCAAGTTGGGGACCAGTCTGGAGCCTACCCCTTTTATGCAGGAGGAAGGGCTGGGGGGTGCGAAGACAGGTATAAAAGCTGCCATTGACTGGGTCAGACCACGGGTCCACCTTACCCAGTGTCCTGTGTCACATCGGGGCAGACAGCAGATGCTGAAAGGGCGAGTGACCTGAATCTGACCGGGGGGTTTTCCCCACCTCCACTGGTCCGCTTGCACTCGCAGCCTCCAGCATTGAAGGTCTAGGAAATTCGGAGGCAGAGGTTGTGCACCCCTCACTCCTGTGCTCAGCAGTTTTTAAAATCACCCTGGAGACCCTTCACCTCCCCCTGCCCGCTCCTGGGGGAGGAAGGTGTGGTGGCTACACTCAGTTGCCATTGTCCCATCCTGCCAGCTGGCTGGGCGAGGAGATTGCCTGAGCGTCCTTAGCATCTGCTGCCACTGCCCAGCTGGTGCCCCAGCCCCAAGGGAGGTGCACAGGGCACCCCCAGCCAATGTCCCAGTCTCAGGGGGGGGCTCCAGTACACCCCCAGCCAGTGCACCAGCCACCGGGGGTCCCCAGGGCACCCCCCGCCCAC